CCGATGAATTTCTTCTTGAGCTAAAGAAGCTAAATGTATTTAAGAACTATAAATAACAACGTTAAGAAAAAAATGAAAAACACTTAAGTAATTAATTAGAAGTCTAGGCCTTTATGTGCATTTAAAATTTCTTGCCTGCTTTAGGGGCGACTACCTTTTTGTATGGAATTATAAAATATATGGCACCGGTAATCATTGACGTAGCTAGGGTTGGTGAAACCCGGTGCGGTAAACTCATGGTGTCACCCCCCCCCCCAACCCCTCAACGTCCCCGATGAATTTCTTCTTGAGCTAAAGAAGCTAAATGTATTTAAGAACTATAAATAACAACGTTAAGTTACAATTATTTTTGCATTAAGTTTAATTTATTTAAAATGTTCCTTTCCTGGACTTTAAAACACTTCAAAATTAGTATCTTTCACTGTATCACTTTCAATTGATAGCAAAGCCAGATCCGAAAACCTTGACTGTTCCATGGTGGATCATAAATAGTTCTTGATAAGCATGATTTCTTTGGACAGCCCTTGTTCCCTTGTCACGGGGCCATACCATTGAAGTTTGCGCTTTTTTACAGCCACCATGAGGGCATCGTACTGCCTGAGGAATCCTTTCTGTCACTTGTTCATTGAAGTTATGGTCCTTATAGCAGATGCCAATAATGCCTCTGAAACATCTCATCTCCATCGCCTTTATTTTCCTTTCAAGTTCTGCTGTTAATGTCCAGGACTCATTGGCATGCAGGAAAATGGTGAGGACTATCCACCCACCCAACCCTTCTGCCCACCCGAAAATCTGATACGTCCCTAAACCAAAACTCAATGGCGTAGCGAGGTGGGTGCGGACCGCACCGGGTGACACCATTTTAGGGGTGACACCCGATTGAAAAAATGCATATTTACGGAGCACACCCTGCTCGGCCTAGCCGAGATTCATAGAAGGATAACCGATCACACATAAATTTGTTCACAAATGTGCTTTATCAAACCTTCAAGGTTGATGGGTCAGAAATGAGATGACCCTATGTTTAGGTCAGAAAAACACAGTCATTATTCCACGCCGAGTCAAGTGTTCGGTAACTACCGTAGGTGACAGAAGGCTATATTTATCTAAATTCTGAGAAATAGAGCTTTCCATTGATTCCAAATAACGATGTGGTCGGGCGATTATAATTACTTGAATCGTCACTAGTATCGCCCCTAAACATTTGAGCACGATTGTCATATTTCGACTGCTGGGTTTTACCTGCCACCTTTCTGTGTTGTGTTTAGGACAGTGCTCTGACTGTTGTTTTTGAACTGTCGTCAGTAATTATTTTGTCTTTTGTCTTGAACATAACATAATTAAAGCATTTTTATAGTTCAAGATTATTCTATCATGCCACGCGGCGTGTACACTTCTAAATGGCCAAGTGGCTGTCAGCAGTAAAGAGCAAAAAAGAAAATAAGCCATTCACTAAAATCGCTACACTACCAGAATGCATGCTTCGATATCAAGAAACCAAATGATGGCCAAGGTCAGGATTCATCAGAAGACTTTCATCAGCCTTCCATTGATACTGATTCTCCCGGGACCAGCGGCATGCATTCTTTACAGCAAGTAGAGGAGAAAATTGAAGAGTGACGTGAAAACGCAAGTAAAAGACGTAGATCGTTTGGAAGCAGAAATGTTTGCTGGTAATGTTAATTCAAACCAAGATACTGTAAGTGTAATGGTTAATGACAAAAACTGGCACATTTTAGCAGATGCTTCTCTCTGGAATGTACCAGCTCCAGATTATTTTCGGCCTGAAATTTAAAATATGGAGTACCTCGTTTCAGAACAAGGACAGACTATTCAGCGTAGTGACAAGGCAAGGTGCGAAATCTAAAGGAGGTGTTCGCAAACTAACAAAACAATGGATCTACGGGATGATGCAAAATGGTGAGACAATTCATTTATAAATTCTTCTTGTGATAAGCAAGTCGTAAAAACGTGTAAATCTTCTTGTGATAAGCAAGTCGTAAAAACGTGTAAATCTTCTTGTGATAAGCAAGTCGTAAAAACGTTTAAATCTTCTTGTGATAAGCAAGTCATAAAAACGTGTAAATCTTCTTGTGATATTCAAGTCGTAAAAACGTTTAAATCTTCTTGTGATAAGCAAGTCATAAAAACGTGTATATCTTCTTGTGATATTCAAGTCGTAAAAACGTTTAAATATTCTTGTGATAAGCAAGTCATAAAAACGTGTAAATCTTCTTGTGATAAGCAAGTCGTAAAAACGTGTAAATCAGTTACTTTCAAAACTTCATGTAACTACCGGTAAAAAACTAAAACTATTACAAAAAGTAAAATGTACATTCTGTATGCATGGGCGCCCGCAGGTAGGGGCAAGGGGGGGGCACTCCCCCCCCCTGGATTGATTGGATAAAAAAAATTTAGACAAAAATAGACAAAAAATATATTAAAGTAAAGAGAAAATAAAGAGAAAGTAACTAAGCTGATGTCATGTCCGTTCGTTCACCACACAAATACGCTACAGTAAATTAAAACTATATTAAAACATTACTAAAAAATTTTAATAACGTAAAACAACAGTAAAACAATTTTTGCTTCCCCCCCCCCCTCCTAGAAAGTTTTCTGCGGGCGCCCATGTTTGTATGTACCTAAGTCATTAGCCACTTTTTTGCTGTCTGCCTGGGGTAAAAAAAATCGCTGCTAAACTCTCCACAACCTTCACAAGAGCAGAGGCGTAGCTAGGGGTGTGCGGGGGTGCTTATCGCACCGGAGGACACCATCCCAGTCAGGGAGTGACACCAAATGGAAAAAAGATGACTTTGCTGTTTATATTAAAAGCCCGATACCGGTACTTAAATTTGAGAAAGTTGTCTTCAAAAAAATTCTTGAGTTCTTTCCCCTAAATTTTTTTTTTTTTTTTTTTTTAAACTGATGCCAATGCCAACGAAAGCAGATAAAGATTTTACTGTTGGGGACGGATATCTTGCTGATTAGTTGAAACTTTCATTTCAAGTTTCAAGGTACCCATAGGTATTTTGATTGCCCTAGGCATTTAATTTGTGTACATTTACCGGTACTATCTTTCCAGATGACTATGCCATGACTTAATTAACAAGTGAATGCTTAGTAATAAGTAATACTTGGTATAGTCACCTCACTTCAATTTCAGGGGTACCCGGTACGGTACCGGTACTAAACCATTAGGTACTGGGTACCGGTACACCTCGAAACCAGAGAAAAATTGCGTTTTGGGTCATTTTTCGAAGTTTTCAAAAAAAAAATAATACGGTACCTGTAATTAAATTTAAACCACTTACAGGAATAAAATTTACAATTTATAAATGAATAAAGTTTAACAGTTTAAGATTTATATCTGGCGAAATATACTTCTTTTAGTACCGGTACTACCCGGTACGTAAAAACCTTACGTTTATTATAAGGCCTAATAACATGGACTCGCCCAGTTGTCTCATTTTGGAGTCTTACTTATCTGCACATTACACCTTTGACTATGACTACCATGTTGTGAATCTAAAATTCACTTTTTTAAAATGCTGTCCTAATAAATGCTGTCCTAATTAACTTTAAAAAATTATGTTTGCAATATTGATATATGTGACTAGTTCAAATATGAATGACATTTTTTTTCATTTTCATGTGATCATTTATTGAATCTAGACACAATATGGAGGAGAGGGAAGCTAGCCCGTACATTATTATTGGTTAAATAAAGAAGAAAGCGAAGACTGTGACGCTATTGCTACAGTTACAGAGAACTATCCTGAGACTGGCATTTGACTGAATTAAATATTTCTTTTGACTGAATTAAATATATCTTTTGAGTAAATTAAATATTTCTATCACTTTTTAAACAATCAAACATACCGGTACTTCTTTATCTTTCGTTTTAACCATTTTTAACCACACACCCCCCCCCCCTTTCCTTTTTTTCAGTTGTCACAATTATTCATTGATGCAGTAACTCAATCTAGATTGAATTTGAAAACAAAAATTGGACTAGACAATTATATAATAATTAGGCAGTCCAAGTCCAAACTAAAATGTTCTATACATAGCAGAGATATGTGGTGAGTTTCACCTGACAGTAGGTAGTCCAAACTAAAATTTTCTATACATAGCAGACATATTTGGTGAGTTTCACCTGACAGAACTTTTTATTCTAAGATATAGGCCACTTATTTCATGTAGATATCTCAATAAACAAAAAAGTTATGCGATTTTCAAATTTGCTGAAAATCGACCAAAAATCGCTGCATAATTATGTCACTGTCCTTTTTATTATTTAATCACTGGTTGAGGTCAAGTTTCGCTTAATCTACTATTTTAATCCTGTGTTAAAAGATTGCATACCAGTACCAGTAATCGGAAGATTATCTAAAACTTGATCTCACCCATTGTAAATGAAAAAGCAGCAAATAAATGATGTGTATTATTATTTAACAGCAAGCTTACAGGGGAATAAGCCAAACACAGATGATATTAAATATAAAATTGGATACAGAAGCTTACCCGGACAGTCACTCCCCAGTAGATGGACCAGTCAGGCATTATAATTTAAGCTAAATTGACCGGCAGTAAACACATCTGACACCATATTCCTCGCCCAATTTTGTTAACATGTATAATTTGTATTCACGTTTTTTTTTAAACTTACGTGTTATATTGAGAAAGTTGTTTTTCCATGATTTTCGAGATGAAAGTAGACATGTTTCTATGTGTTTCGCTTTCCTTACCATGCCAAAACTTCCAAGACCATGAGATTTGACTGTTTGAGCTTAGACTTTGCTGATTTGGGTTAGTTTGAAACTTCATTATAAGGCATTATAATTTATTTTCCTATGCATTTAATGTGTATAAATTTAAAATGTAAATGTAGCCACAAGAAAGAGGGCCATCACTTTGCCAGAAGAATTAAATTAAACTTAGTAAAGCACATAAAGACATTACCGGTATCAGATTTTGGAATGCCCCAACTAGAAAAACAATTTACATTTTGGCCTAAACTTTTTATTATGGACCAATCTTGACAAACTTGCGGTGAAATGATTCCACGATAACAATCTTCATTTTTTATGTGAACTGAAGTTATATTTTCTTCCAACCCTTCACTTCATTACAATAAAATGTTATGATCAAACAGTACAGTAAATACAGAAAAGAAAATGACTTATTTGCTTAATTTATAATTTCTACATGGATTGTGTTGTCTTTCACTTTTAAAGGGCAACGTCAACCCATTTTTCCTAAGGTTGTAAAATCTCAAAAAACCTTAATTAACCTGATCAATGATGGTCATACAAATGGCATTTTTACTTTTAGCTAGAGATTTCAAACATGTCCAGTACATCATCAGTTACAGAAGAAAGGGACATTAGCATTTTAAATAATACCCCAAGACCATTTTCTTTTAAAAGTGCCACAAGATTTGATCTAATCAGTGAGCGAGAATAGTAACACCCATTATATTCAAATTTGCTTAGGTTTTATCCATAATCCGGTCAGATTTTGAACTGAATAGCATCAGATTACTTTCCGTAGCCACATTAGTTTTGCAAAACATTACATTAACAGTAAGCATCTCCAAAGTACTATCAAGTAAGTGGATTTAAGAAATAGTACCCCCAATATGAACACAAAAATTAAAAGCTTGCACTTCGCAGCAGCCCTACATACATGAACGAACAAATTAAAAACAACTCTTATGAACAGTGACTTAAGATTTTAATTTACACTTAAAACGAACGTTTATGGTACACATTGAATAAAAGTTAACCTAGGAATAACCCTTTTTCCTCCTGAACTCTTTTCTGTGCAATTTTGACTGTAGAAGCCATCTAGACCAAGAAATTAAAATCAACTGAGTCAGCTTTTTTATGGGCATAAAATTAAAGGATAAAGAAGCAGCAGTGAGACTTTCACTGCTACTGTAATGGTGGTAGATTCTAGCCTTCTCCAAGTCTTTAGGACTTTGTTGGCGTATTTTAAAACATGACCCTGTCACCTTTTTCTGAAGTCCTACTGAAAACGGTGAGGGTTCCTGCTCCTTTCACTTCTTCTTGGCAGCAGCCTTAGTGACCTTTCCTGCGGAAGCTTCTTCCTTAATTACAGACTTAATTACTCCGACAGCAACAGTCTGCTTCATGTCACGCACAGCAAAACGACCAAGTGGGGGGTATTCTTGGAAGGCCTCCACACACATGGGCTTGCTTGGTACAAGGTCAACCATGGCGGCATCACCAGACTTGACAAACTTGGGGAAGTCTTCAAGCTTTTTACCAGAACGGCGATCACATTTCTCCTTGATCTCAGCAAACTTGCAGGCAATGTGGGCAGTGTGGCAATCAAGCACAGGTGCGTAGCCATTCTTGATCTCACCAGGGTGGTTCAAAATGATGACCTAAAGGGATAATGAAAAATTAGTCCACACAAACAAAAAATTTTTTAAAGTACAAGGAGGTGAAGAAAATGGATACTGGCTTCAATATCAAATATGATTGAAACTGGTAAGTATAATCTGATGATTATTTTATAAATTTATAAAATAAGTCTCACCTGAGCATGGAACTGCTTAGTGGCCTTGGGTGGATCATTTTTGCTGTCACCAGCAACATTGCCTCTACGGATTTCCTTGACGGACACGTTCTTGACATTGAAACCAACATTGTCACCTGGTGTGGCCTCAGCGAGAGCTTCATGGTGCATCTCTACAGACTTAACCTGTAACAACAATATGTTATGAATATGACGGAAAATATATTGTTAAAATTATTGTTAATATTTTAACAAGTACTTTTTGGCTGAGTAATAAAACTGTCCACTGCATGGTTTTTCTCCTCATTCACTATTGCATAGCAATTCAGAGAAGGTTATGGAATATGCAGGGGAAATTCAACATCTAACAAGAGCAGTTAGGAGAATTCTTGATGTACAACGTTGTGGAAAAGGACCCAACATCGTGTTCACAAGGAACACATTAACTCCTACTCGCCACACTGACAGTATCAGGTAAAGAAGTCAACGACTAGGTCACCTAACATGTCAACGTTGATTACATATATATCATATATATAAGATATAATTGAATATTGAATTATATTTACCTCAGTTGTTACATTAGTTGGTGCAAATGTGACAACCATGCCTGGCTTAATGATACCAGTCTCAACACGACCAACTGGCACAGTACCAATACCACCAATTTTGTATACGTCCTGAAGGGGAAGACGCAGGGGTTTATCTGTTGGGCGAGATGGTGGCAGAATTGCATCAAGAGCATTGATCAAAGTCTTGCCAGATGCATTGCCATCTTTACGTTCAATGGACCAGCCCTGAAATTTTGTGTAAGAACATTGTTACGTTCAATGGACCAGCCCTGAAATTTTGTGTAAGAACATTGCATTTAAACAAACTATCAAAATGCAAATGAATTTATATTCACATATATATATTAATATAAACACATATAAGAAATGTACTTTGTTCTTTAAACTCACCTTGTACCAGGTCATGTTAGGGGAATCCTCGAGCATGTTGTCACCAACCCAACCAGAGATGGGTACAAAAGGAACAGCAACAGGGTTATAACCAATCTTCTTGATGTAGTTGCTGACTTCATTTTTAATTTCAAGAAAACGGGCCTGTAAGCAAAAAAAATATATTCTAAATATTTAAAGCATCTCATGAACTGCTATTCAAAATTCTTAACTGAGTGTAGTTATTTATAATAATTTTTTATTATGGACTGCAACTCGACAATTGTGTTATATAGATATATATACACAATCGATATGTGTACAATAGTTTCACTGTCATAACCAGAAGCAGGGGGCATTTCAGATTCTAAAAATGTTGACCAAAAACAATTCATTCGCACTTAGAAGTAGACACCTCTGCTTTACTAAGAGTAGCTAATTCAAATCAAGAGCTGAGTACACATACTTCACTGTATGGTGGTGAGGTGCTGTCCATTTTGTTGACACCAATGATGAGCTGTTTAACACCAAGAGTGTAAGCAAGGAGAGCATGCTCACGGGTCTGGCCTTCTTTGGAGATACCAGCTTCAAACTCACCAGTACCAGCTGCAACAATCAGGACAGCGCAGTCAGCCTGTAGAAAGGTGGATTTAGGTGGATTTTTTATTGTAATATTTATATCTCTACAAATTTAACAAGTATGAGGAAATTAGGATAATGGTAATTAGTAAATGGTTTAATATAAAATGATATACCTGTGATGTGCCAGTGATCATGTTCTTGATGAAATCACGATGGCCTGGGGCATCAATGATGGTGACATAGAACTTATCAGTTTGAAATTTCCACAAAGCAATGTCAATGGTAATACCACGCTCACGCTCAGCTTTCAATTTGTCCAACACCCAGGCGTATTTAAAGGAACCCTTGCCCATCTGTAAAACAAATTTAGAAAAAGATAAGGTACATTTGCAGTCCAAATTATCTTTAAGTTCATGTGATTCAATGCTAAAGTGTTAACATGAATAAAGTTATTAAATTTAAAAGACACGTTTCTTTTATCAGTAACTCACCTCTTGGGCCTCTTTCTCGAACTTCTGGATCGTTCGCTCATCAATACCACCACACTTGTAGATCAAGTGGCCAGTTGTGGTTGACTTGCCAGAGTCGACATGACCAATAACGACAATGTTGATGTGAAACTTTTCCTTACCCATGATGAATGTTTCGTTTTAGAGTTCGAGGGCTGTTGAATGATTAAATGAAAATCTGAATATGTGGCAACATATGAAATATTTCGGTAATCAAAATGGCTGTTTATTCATACCACGTGGCTAATCATTAGCGACGGGATAGCTTCCAGAAAATTATTGTGATGAATGAAACCCAGGCAACCTGCGCTTATGATTAAAACTAATATTTACTGAAAAATATTTGAAACCAAGTATTAAGTTTTACAAATTTTTAGATTTTGAATGGTTTTACGCTAAGCGCCATGTCACACTGAAGCCTAAACGAACTGCCTCGAGTGAATACTTAACATACGCGTTCCACCCCCTTATTCGGTAATAACTGAAGTTCTTTTAAAGAAAGAATTTAAAAGTTTGAAATAAAAGGTAAACTAACACAAAACTTATATCATTCAATTATCCAAAGAAATTTTTTTTTTGAAATGTTAATTCTACACAAATATATGTGAGTTCATATATGGCCGTGCCAGACCGGTAATGCCGGCAAACTGTAAAACAATTTCAAAGGATATAAATTATAATAAAAGAAAATATGTTTCCAATTGATTGATCAACTACACAGATGATAAGTTTATAGTGAATTACTAACATACGCAACACTAGATGACTTATTTTACACAGGGATTTGAAATGGATTGTATAACTTAAACATCGACCTACCTGCTTACACGCTCGGTACCACCGCAAAAAAGGACAGAGAGAATGTGTCACGTGACTAAGTAGGCTCTTGCGTTGAATTCTGGGATATGCTGGTTGTGACGTAAAGTCTAATTATAGTGTGAACGGAAATTAAGAAATAGCTTCGCCTATTTAATATTTTTTTTTTTTATGTACATTTTGTCTATTCAATGTGTTTTAGTCTTTATTTATTGATTTTTTCATTAAATTGAATAGAAACTTTGTGTTATGATTAAAGGATGATGATTAACTTATCAGACAAAGCTTAGTATCTCTACTACTCACCTAGCAAATTAGGGACAGGCGGTCCTCGAACTTTTTAAACAAAGGGTCGGTTCATATTTTACTGTCCCACTGCCACTGTTAGGGCTGGACTATACTTTTGAAAACGACTCCCTTTTACCGCTGTACATATCTTAATGCCGGGAGACTTACATAATAATTAATTTCATTTAAAGCTAACTAACGGACTCGCGTAATTACTTTGTCTTTTTTGTTCCCAACTTTTCCGTAACAACTAACTAATTTTAAAAGTTTACCTTTTGTTATGTTGTTTTAGTATTTTTCTCAACATGACTGAGATCAATGGTTTTTCTTCAATACTAATTATTTATTTAGCAATTCCTAATTTGACCTCTTTACCTGTGTTGCTGGTGTCCATGCCATTGCCTTCAAGTGCGGTATAAAGTTGTTAAAATTCTATTAAAAAAAAATATAAGTCGTGTCTTTTTTAAAAATCAGAGTTACAACCTCATTAGAAACAGTCTAGAGTTAGTGGCTCAAAGGGGGGGGGGGTCCTTGGCATGCCACTCCTTAATCTAGAAAATCAAAATGGATTTTGAATACTCTTCTTCATAAGATTTAGTGGTCATTTAGGCATGAGACGTTACGCCCGGGCCACGATGAAGAATTTACAAAGTCCGCACTTGTTCTTTGTTAGTATACAGGGTGTTGGTGTAGTCTGGTATTTTTGGTACATGGTTTAGGTCAGTGGTCGGCAAATCATGGCTCTTAATTAAGCAACCTGAGTGCGCCTCAGCCAGTCGATCGCAAATCGGTTTTGACTCCGAAAAACCATGGCTCTTGACCGGTTCTTGAAAAGAAATTTGACTTTTAATTTTTTTTTTAAATCGTCCTGCTGCTGATTTCTGTCTTTTTCGACTAATGAGTTTGCCGACCACTGGTTTAGGCGTGTGTCTTGAAGTGCAGAGCAGTTGAAGAGAATGTGTTACTGTCTCATTTTTATGTTTGCAGAGGGTCAGCAGGGGCACATTGGTGTATTTTCAGGTTTCATGCGGTTAAGGTGGGAATTAAGTTGTTTGTGTTTTCAAAAGCAGTGGGCCATAAATGCTGACCCAACCAACCACACACAGAGACATGCAAACAAATAACCAAACGCGAATAAAGCCAGGATTTGGGACGAGTGTAAACCCTGGGCTTACATCTTTAAAATTCAAGAGTCTTTTACGAGTCTTTTACGACTCTTTTACGACTCTTTTACGAGTCTTTTACGAGTCTTTTACGAGTCTTTTACGACTCTTTTACGACTCTTTTACGAGTCTTTTACGAGTCTTTTACAAGTCTTTTACGAGTCTTTTATGAGTCTTTTACGAGTCTTTTACGAGTCTTTTACGAATCTTTTACGAGTCTTTTACGAGTCTTTTTTTGTTTGAAGGATATATACAACAAGTCATTTTGTCCAAAAAGTACGCATGCACTAACGTCTGCCAGTCATACAGGCCTGAGGAGAGGGGGCAGCAGCCGGTACACAGTTCCGGGAACCATAGTGCTCAAGGGGTGCAATGAAGGGAAAAAAAACATTTTTACACTTTGTCTGTATAGCAGAACCGCCTCATTTGAAATGTACAGCATTGTTATTAGAGGTCATATTGGCTTACCAAAAACATCCCTCGTACCTGCAGATGGCCAGGATTTTCCCGAAAGTAATCTACCATTTTGACGTTTAAGTGGGGAAAAAACACGACGAAGGGTTGGTCAGCAGCTAAAAAGTGGCGAAAATTATGTATTCGCATCCCAGCACATGAGAGAAACAATATTCATAGGCGGTGCTAGCTGGCTTGGCGAGAACTAGAAAGAGGTCTGCCATCTGGTAAAAATAATTGAAAGTGTATTGGAGGCATCAGCTGAAACAGAATCTATCAAGTAGCACAAACTTATTTAACGAATCATTTATGTTGTACTATTCCAGGATGATCGGGAGACTGCTTAGCGTGGCAGTCCTCAGCGAATTGTTGAAAAAGACTAATGAGATTTTATGAGAGTCAGGGAGTTGTTGTCTCATGGGGATCCAATTCTAAAAGAACATGTTTTGCAAGTTTAAGAGTCACAAGAAAATGGATTCCTGATTCATCAACACTTCTTTTGCTTTATGTATTACCATATGAAAAACAGTATGAAATTACAGAAAGATGTTTACATTTTGTCGAAAGAAACTACAAAACATGATATTACATAGCACAGATGACAACTGTCAGATTGTCGCACACAGGAATACAACAATGTAGCCAAAATGGCAGGAAAATATAAAGGTGCACAAGCAAGAACACTTGAGCAACGTGAAACAGATTTATTTTTACCTTGTGGATGCCACACATTTAATTTGTGGGAAATATTGCAGCAGAATGTATCCCTGAAGCCATCACACACTTTGGAACTGTACAAACTGTTTACAACTTCTTAAGCTCTAGTCCACATCGATGGGAAATCTTGCAGAAGTGTATTGGCTGTTATTTTCCCGGTATGTCTAACACACCATGGTCAGACAGCATGCCTAACCCATGATAGTGAGAAAGTGTTGAAAGTACAAAGAGCTTTGTAGCCCACCTGCGTAGCATAAAATTAGCATTAGAAAACCACTTTGAGTTGAATCTAACATCCAAAAACAATAACACAGATAAAGGGAGCTTTGTCTTATGTCACATCCTTCTTTTGAATGATAATGTCTGTTGTATGGCACAGAGTATTAGTTCCAGATTATACTTGTAACAAGGTTATTCAGTCCAGAAATGCAACGCTGGCTTCCGAAGTGGCCAACTCTAAAAGCTTGATATCAGAACTGACGAATCTTCTGAGAAGCTGGAGAAGTATGTGGAGCGAGGCTAAGCGTGATGCTTCTAATATGTGCATAGAAGTGAAACTCTCTGGAACTCGGGGTGATACCAAGACGCATAAGAAAGAGGTTCAATGATAAATGTTCTCAGAAGAAGATTTGTTTAAGCAAGATGAAATGGATCAGCCCACCCCCCCCCCCCCGAAAAATCATATTCGGAACGTCAGTCTTTATGTATATTGGAAGGATAATTTTATTTCGTTTCAATGTTATTGTAACATTTCTGATAAGATCAGCATCTACTGGAAGTACCTATCAATTAATCAACATGAACTAAAAGAAAAATCTAAATCTAAATTATTTGTAGATCAATATCTCGCTGATATTGTGAAGATCTTGTAATTGAGATAAGTTATTTACCGTCTGTTTATCAAGCAAAATATGAAGAGAGCCATCTGAGTTCATTAGAGCTACTGAATTGCTTGAAAATATACAAGCTGGAAGCATGGGCGCCCGCAGGTAGGGGCAAGGTGGGGCACTTGCCCCCCCCCCTGGATTGATTGGATAAAAAAATTGTAGACAAAAATAGACAAACAATTTATTAAAGTAAAGAGAAAATAAAGAGAAAGTAACTAAGTTGATGTCCTGACCGTTCGTTCACCATACAAATACGCTACAGTAAATTAAAACTATATTAAAACATGACTAAAAATTTTTTGCCCCCCCCCCCCGGAAAGTTAATCGATTTTTTTGCCCCCCCCTCCCTAGAAAGTTTTCTGCGGGCGCCCATGNCCCTAGAAAGTTTTTTGCGGGCGCCCATGGCTGGAAGGACTCTTTACAAATGCCTGTCTCCGTATCGGCGGCGTCTGAAAGAGGGTGCGAAGGGGACAGCACCTTTTTTCATTTATATGGAGAGGTGGCTTTTTCGGTCAACTGCGGAATTTTTTTGAGGGGAAAAAAGAAGGGGGGGGGGGGGCAAAAATATGGAACCGCTCGGGGGGTGGGGGTGCACTAATAACCCTAGCTACAAAACTGCTCCAGTTCCCCAAACTAATTCCTGCCACTTTCGCTTCTCCAGAGCGCTCATTCAGCAAAAGAAGCTGATAAAAATCATCTTAGGTCGACCTTGTCACAGGGGCTAATGATAGATTTGGAAACACTCGGTACTGAATCTGATCTTGGAAAAACGATTGATTTTGACGTTGAGATTCGCAATTTCGCCAGGAAAAAGGCTAGGAAGGCAACTTTATTAAGCAGAATATAAATGCTATTAAATCTCAAGTATAATACATTTTATAAGCTTGTAATCAATCTAGTATTAAATCCATTGTTTTGTATGTTGTTTCATTGCTGTTTATATACTAAAGTGTATTATTAGTATTATTGTTTTTATTATCTTTTACATAATTACCTTCTTCTTTGTAATATATTAGCAAGTATAATTGAATGTAATTAATTATTTATGATTTTATGACATTATTTATTTATGTGTCTATGTGTAGGTGAGGAGACCCATTTTCAGTCTTTTCCGGCATTTAATAAAAAATCCCCTACGTATTTAAATGGCATGGGGATGAGCTAGATGCTATTTATAAATCAGTACCGGAAAATAACGTAAGTTGTTATATAAAACATTGTTTTTTAAAGTTTTTAATAAAAAATTATGCATTTTAACGTAGCCTATGTATTTTTACTCCCTCCTTTTTTTTCGAGTTGTAGTGTCAAAAATTACCGTTAAACTCATTCAATTTTGATTACAAAAATGATTAATGAATAGAAGAATAACTTATTAATCATATTTTAAAAATATAATAATTTCCCTTCATTTATTTACAATGTTGTTACTTTTTAAAAAAATGCTTCTGTTGTTATTTTAATTTTTTTTTTTTTTTTTTGCAGTGTATTTGAGCAGAAAGAATAATATTCTACCCTTTTTAGGGCTTAAAAAGGGGGGAGGGACGGATTTTTTTAATTTAAAAAGGTGGTCATGGGGGAGGGGAGGGGGGGGGGGTAGAAAAAAGTCGAAAACATTCTGTAATGTGAGGACAAAATGGCCGCGTCCTTTCCTTTTCTTTCAATGTTCAAAACACGATAAATGAGTGATTGCTAATCATCGAAATTGCATGTTTGTTGCAATCGATTTTGAAGCCTTCAGTTGTATAGAGTAATCATTACTCAGACCTAATTTTAAAATGAATGTAATATTTTCCAAAATTGCATCTGTTGGTGCAACACAGGTGAGATTGACTTGCTGGCTTGAATGAAATGAATGAGAGTGCTATACTATTACTATTACTACTATTGTCTATTGTCAGTTGTCAGTATGCTCTTAAGTTCACTAAGTTAACTTAGTCTTAGTAATAGAGAGTAGATGAAATGTAATAAGTGAATACTACTGTTGGTAAATTCACAGAAGAGATGCCAAGGTTTTTTTTTCCAATGGCCCCTATGCCTATCCCAGTCCTGTGCCATATAATATACTAGTCACAAGTCAGAACTAGATAGATCACAATTGACTTAGCTTCACATATTTTGATTATATTTATATTCTTAATTCTTATTCTGATCTTCCGCCACCTGATGTCATGTATGATGTATGTTCACTGAATGAAGATTTATTACACCATATTTAAATATAGTTATAGACTATTTCTAAAAAACAAAAGGTTTTTTATGCAAAGAATTTGAAAGAAGAGATGAGATGCCATGAAATCATTTGCCTTTGCATGTTTATTAAAGTTGTCTGAATTAGGGTTCAGGTTAGGTTTAGGGATATATTTAGGGTTCAGGTTAGGTTTAGGCTTTAGGGATACATTTATTTAGATTTAGTGTCAGAATTAACTGGTCTTGTCAACCAAGATGGCAGCCATGGGAAAGCAACATGGCATCGCTTCTTTGCATTTACCTTTTTTTTCTGTAGAACTCAGCATTACAATACTATACTTTCTTTCATACCCTGATAAAAATTATTTTAGGCACTTTGGTATTATCCGGAAACATCAGAAAATGAATTATCCTAATTTTGAGTTCAAAATGGTGACCTCCACTTTTTAATTTACCGATGGCGCTGTTGTTTCACTTCATGTAGTAGATTTTTAGCTCAATATAAGTACAAAGTGTCTACACATCAGGCCCGCTGGACACATAGTGTAGGAGATATGCGTCGGGCGGGCATGTCAACTGACCGCTGGACGACTAGTAGGCGTTATTATTCCGGCAGGTAATGTGACAAGTGGTCGCTGGCTAAATAGTTGCATTGCATTTGATATTCCGATCCCTAGATAAGAAATAAACGCTGAACATGTTAATATATTCAAATGCTCTGAGTTAAATAAAGTGTTTGCCTTTCAATCTTAAACTAGTCGGCCAATATACTAATTAGTAGTACAAGTACTTGTAAAGCTCTACCTTGAAGCCTAAATTTAAAATATGAACCAAATAAAATAAGACCAGTAGACTTCAATAGACCTATACCCTTTGTCAATAAAGTTGTATTTCAGGATTAATATTTAATATTGCATGACAAGTAGGCTAGGCTACCACTTTATCGGCCCTATATTAAGATGTAGAGTGTCACAAATGACTCGGGTGGGGGTATAGGACAGAGCTTAGTAGTTATCAGTGCGTAATGATGCTGTTTTGTTTGGGTTTTCCCCATGGGCCGCACCACGTTAGCTGGATATTGAATGAGCTGTGGGGGGCACTTCCGGGAAGAGAGGGAGAGAGAGAGGATATTAAAGGCGTTTGAAAAGGTTATATTTTCTTCAATAGATTTAGATTTAATTGTTGTTACATCAAGAAATGAATACATATATATAATTCATACACCTGGAGTTGGAGTTTTTACGTTGTGCTTCTGTCTGTCCCAACGCCTAGACACCCACAATATAATCACAGAGAGGAGCGGTCCTATACTAACCAATACTATATTAATATAGTTTGTTATATGTCAGGACCGGAGCCCTCCTCCGCAACAACCGTTCTGTGACATCTGGGGGCTCAGTCCGGGGTCTAGGCATCAGGAGATAGACAGGGCTGACGTAATAGAGTAAGAGGACAGAAGTCAAACAGAAGGTGTCTTGGGAAAGATGACGCCATTGCAGTGCAGACAAATGGAGGATAGAAGACCAGCAGGGTACCATCAAGTAAGGCAGTGGAATGCATCACTCTGCTACAGGTGCCATCGGACAGGGCACATTGCAAGGTACTGTACTAACGCACGACGGTGCCACAGATGCTACTCAACTGGTCATCTGGCACGAGATTGCTGCAACGAGCGCCGGTGTTTTCGTTGCTATGCAACTGGACACCTGGCCAGGGACTGCGACCGACCACGTGTCTGTTTTACCTGCCTACGCCCAGGCCACACCACCGTGACGTGTCGATTTCAGGGTCGGTGCTACAAGTGTCACCAACAGGGGCACGTGTCAAGGAATTGCCCAATTGTCCGTGACAAGGGAGATGGAAATTCTAGTTGTAGAGAGGTGAAAACGGCATCCACGTGTTTCAGATTAGGACAGGAAAAGAAGTGTGTAGAGAAGAAAGGGAAGTTATTAGTAAGGAAAAAGAATAATAGGACACGTGTGATCAAGAACTGTGAAGAGAACAGAAGTAATAGTGAAGATGAGATTTTTATAGGAGGAATTTCGAATGGCATCGGAGTAAAGGAAAGTGTCTATGGATTAGTTGAAGATAAAAGAGTTCAAGTGTTTAGACATTATCTGTGTGGTGACATAGTGGTCAGGAAGGACTTGGTAGATGACAGCAAGTTGACAGGAGAGAGGTGCACGATCGTATTGATGAATGATGCAAGGCTAAAAGGAGGGAAGGCAATAGTAACAATCAGTACTCCATATGTTTCTGGAAAGGTTCTAGCAGTGTGCATTCCCGACATTGTCTATGACATCATAGTTGGACAAGTAGTTTAGGACTCAATGTTTTTATGTGTGAGTGATTACAGTTTGGAGGTAGCTTAGGTAGACGGAGATAGAGTGTTTAGTTTAGTATGAGAATAATTTTCATCGCTTCATCAAGGACACTTCCTGTAAGAGACATGAGGCATGCTTTTAAGACTTTAGTATCTTTAGTTAATTTAGTTGTGCTATCTTTATTTGATTTCAGACTCGTAATTTTTTTTAAACTTGTATAATTTAAATAATGCTGGTAATGGGTATAATCATGTGTTTTTAACACTTGTTGGGTTGGGTTAAACATATTAAATGAATCACATATGCGGGTCGCAGCCCCTGTGCTATTGGCAGTGAAGGGTTTTGCTTGAACAGGGCATTGAACATTGAAGGAGACAGTGTACGTGGGCTTATTATGCTTCAGTTGTGTTTTTGATTATTAATGACATAATAACAGGGATGTTGTTAGGGAAATCAACTGTACTCATCTACTTCAGACCGTGCAGGGCACATGATGGGCTGCGTGTAAACGATGTTTAGAGTGTCAAAGATAATGTGTTATTAGTATTGTTGTGTTTGATAATTTGATATTATTAGATGTATGACTAGTCTACACTTAGAGATGTGTGAGACAGCATTAGAGTTAGAGATAGTCTGCACTTAGTGATGGTGTTAGACAGTACTAAATGGAGAGTTAGTTGTATAGCATAAGTTGAATGGTAAGCCTACACTACGTAATTTGTTGAATAGGGTGGGATGACAGCTACAACCTGCACTGGGCAATGTGTAGAGTAGCATGAGATGGTCAGCTATAGCCTGCACTGGGTAATCTGCAGGACAGCTTGGTTAGGTCAGCTATTTCCCACACTGGGTAATGTGTGGGGTAGCATGGGTAGGGCAGCTATAGTTTACACTATGTGTGTGAGGTAGAAATAGGTATCATTCAACCTGATTAGTGGATCGTGGAATCAGAGAAGGTGATTAAGACTTAAGGGATAAGTCTAGTTGATAGTATGACGTTAGTCTAAGTTATTGTGCTAGACACATATATTCTGATGATGGATAGAATATGGTACCTTAAGGGGTGTAATAAAGAAACATATTGTCAAAGAGTCACTAAGGATAATTGTGGTCTCTGATTACAAACAGGGTTCTGAGATTGATATATTTAAATGAAAGATCAAAATGTTTAGATACGTTGTTTTTTTGTTTAGTATTTTAGGGTAAAATGTTCGCGTTGTTGAAGACGATGATTAATTTTGTTGCTTATTATTGACATAAGCATGATTTTTTTGTGTTGCTATTTTTTAAAATTTTGATTGAAAAAGTGAAGATGAGAATAGGTGACAATAGAATTAGTGAAGCATAGAGTAAGAGCTGGACCCAGTGTTATGTACAGAAATATAGTTTGGTCATTTGTGGAGTTTTTGAAATTTGTCAATGTATTAAAAAATTTCTTGAAGGGGGGACATATGTCACAAATGACTCGGGTGGGGGTATAGGACAGAGCTTAGTAGTTATCAGTGCGTAATGATGCTGTTTTGTTTGGGTTTTCCCCATGGGCCGCACCACGTTAGCTGGATATTGAATGAGCTGTGGGGGGCACTTCCGGGAAGAGAGGGAGAGAGAGAGGATATTAAAGGCGTTTGAAAAGGTTATATTTTCTTCAATAGATTTAGATTTAATTGTTGTTACATCAAGAAATGAATACATATATATAATTCATACACCTGGAGTTGGAGTTTTTACGTTGTGCTTCTGTCTGTCCCAACGCCTAGACACCCACAATATAATCACAGAGAGGAGCGGTCCTATACTAACCAATACTATATTAATATAGTTTGTTATATGTCAGGACCGGAGCCCTCCTCCGCAACAACCGATCTGTGACATAGAGTATATTTCTTCGTGAACTATCGGACTCCCCGCCTTAAACTTTATTATTTATCACCCTCAGTATTATTCTTTTAGCATTCGTATTTCTTATTACCGTTTTTCTCTCTCCCTCTTAGCATTGCTTCCTTCTAGCATGCATTATTGCTTAACCTTCACTTAATCCTCAAATACCCAAGTATTTTTTTCTATCATTTGTTTGCAACATACTCAGTAAATTACTTGGTGGAAAAATAGATTTTAAAATTAACAATAGTTTTGAATCATTCCCGATCACGTGACAAGGCAGACGAACAAATATCTCGCGCCACTTTGTTACGGCGGTCATGTGACTTGGTTGCCGGACAAATATCTCGATAAAGTATTCTTCCGCCGGTCATGTGACTGGTTCGCCAGACAAATAGTGCAGACAAACTTTGCAAGAAGAAATAGCAAACAAAAAATAAACAAGATCCCATTAGGATGCCGATCCCATTAGTATCCGGTTTCACGGTGGGATCCTCTTCTCCAATGGTGTCCCATTTCCTGTTGAATCCTGATCCCGGTTTGATCATGTTACCTGATTAGATCGCGTACCGTTGGGTTTAACTTACTGCTAGATCTCGTTAACTTTACGATAAGCTTTTATATCCCTTTCTATATCCCCGTAGAACTATATAGAAATTTCTGGAACATTCTAGATTAAATTTAATAACCTCCTTGAAACGTGTAAACAATAATTTTCTAAGTAATTATTATTTGAACTCGAAAAATTATACAACTAAATGCACTGCTATTGCTATAATACATTTAAGCTAAATGAGGGAGCCGGGGTGCATTTCATAATTTTAATGAATCAGTTTTGCCTGAGATGGGGAACCCCATAGAAATCATTCAGATAAATTACAGAGTTAAAATTAAAAGTTAAAATTTGTCCGATCAAAATCAGTTTAAAAATACCATAGATATAGCTTTTTAAAGTTATCGAACTATCTAGAAAATTCTAGATTGGATATTCTTAGTTTTCAATCCACCGATATTTCAATACAGACAATGAAGTGTATTGCTACCATGCTAGACCTTTATCCATCAATTCACCTATAGTGTTGTCTAAGCCTATTGATATTTATATAGCTTATATTAGGAAAAATAAAAGGGGCCCCCTGCGTTAGAGGGATGGATATTATGAGTTCAGTACCCTTTGGTATTTGAGTATTGATAATCAAGTGTATGTGTAATGACTTTAGTCAATATCCATCCATTCATGTAGGAGTAGGAGTACTTATTTGTCAATTTATTTATATAGCTCATAAAAGAAAAGAACGAATTCGGGGCGGTATGTTATAAAAAGGTCACAAGCCTTTATGAGTTCCTTCTGGATAACAATGTGTGCCAAGTTTGGTCAACATCCATCAATCCATTTAAAAGTCTTTGTGGAAGAAAGCCACAAACAAACTATTTTCACTTTTATATATTTATATGTGATATGATTTTTTTTTAATGAAGTACCTCCATTTATTAATTCACATCATGTACATAAAGAAATTTCAAGCAATGTTAATATATGTCAGCCATTTTGGTTTTCCGTTATCTCGATCATCGGTTATCTCGACGCTTTTTGGCAAACCCTGAGGCCGTCGAGTTCTACTGTATTTAATTTTCCGCAGAGAAAAGGAAATATTACGCACCAAATGCAGTTGCATTATTTCCAAAGGAAAAAAAATAATCTTTTAGCATGCTGGTAGTTATCTGGAATTCTATTTTGCTTGCGTCCGACAACAATGCCATTTCCCATATCCAAATATACATCACAAAATAAAAAGCACATAGCAAAAGCTACCAAATATGCTGAATTGGAAGCAGCAAGCTTATTAGGAAGCAGCCCGAAATGGAAGTAGTCCACCAGATGGATAATATATGTATAAGAGATTTAATCACATACTGATATCTCAATATTCCACAAGAGAATTATATTATAACTAAGGCTTAACTGGGTACAGTTTTTTACACCCAAACCAGTTATTTTGAGAAAATACCTGGTGGGTCCAAGTGTTAACAAAAAAGTTAACTTCTTATTTTCTATAATATATGCCAGCCATTACATAATATGCCTACAGACAGTCCTTCACCCTACCTGCCCGCCTTTAAAGAATATGCCTACAGACAGTCCTACACCCTACCTGCCAACCTTTAAACAATAGGCTTATAGACAGTCCTACACCCTACCTGCCCGCCTTTAAACAGTAGTCCTACAGAGAGACCTTTACCATACCAGTGGTTCTGTATTGATTAATATAATACTCACCTCTCCCCCCAAGAAAAAATTCAACATTTACCCGAGTTCAACTGTCACGCATAAAACTCACTGCGTGACACCAGAAACAAAATATATAAGAGATCCTCAAATAAAAAAACACATTTTCTGGCACAATAATCCAAGATTTACTAAAGAACAATCTTCTTAATAATTTTTATTTGATTTACCTCAAGCAAATGTCTAGAACTTATTTTAATTTCTTTCAACCGCCAAAGATTATTCAAACAAACAAAACATATTGATTACTAACTTAAAATGACATACTAATTTTTTTGTCATGTTCATATGGGACCAAATATATAAATTTATGGTGCAATAATAAGTATTATCCTCAATATTAACTAAATGAATCAATTAAGCCCTGTATAATTTGTTTATACTTATAAAAGTTGCCAGGAAATTTTGAAATGAATCAAATAAAGCCTAAAGAATATCATTACCGGACTATTATTTTGTGGAAATTTAAGCAAATATATATTTTACAAAATCAATTAATTAAGTTTTTATGTCAGCTAATTTAATACATTTTTAATAAAGAAAATTATGAGTTTTGTTCAATATTGGGGAATATTAACAATATCCAAATTGATATCTTATGGTTTATTTAGTTAAACTCATTTCTTACTATAGTCTCTGTAAATATTATATTTTATCTCATTTTATAATAAAGTTATAGGTTTAAAAAAGGCAAAGTAAGGGTCACAAAATGTGGAGGAAAATTCCATAGTAAAAAAGATTTTTTGAGGTCTGTAAAAAAAAAATCATAACTTTACAACCACTTGTGCTAGAAAATGGATATTGGTGTTTTTGTCAACTATTATCTAGGCTCTATACAGCTGTATTATTTTTATATATTTTTAAAAAAGTTTTGAAATTTTCACCAAACATCCTAATTATATGAATTTGTGGCAAATTTAAGCAATCAGCACCACTCATTTTGCACTACTTTTTTCCCCCCACGGCTGCCTTCTTTGTTGCCATAATGTTAGATGTTTTACTGCAACAAAGGTGCCTGGTATGTTAAAAAAAAAAGGATTGCAAAACATGTCTAAAAAAAGGGGGGGGGGGGGGAGGAGGAGGGAGAGCATAGGTTGTTTTAATTACTTACCAAGAGAATAAAAAAAAAATTAGGAAAAGCACATTAAAATTTAATGTAATAAGTTTTTTTAGAAAAAACTTCAATCCTAAAATCTATAAATCTACCTAACCTGAATGCTAAGTCAGTATCCCTAACTTAATTGTAAATTTCCCCCTAAATTTTGTCCCCCCTAACTTGAGCATAAATCTTCAAACCTAACATCTAGGACCTAGCGCCTAACATGAACCGTAAAACCACATGTTGGTGTGCTGCAGTTAAACACTGTATTGCATTGAGAAAATCTTACACTTGAATACAAAGATTAAAAGTATTTTAAAAATATTTTATAACATCTCTATTGCAGGTTCCATCAAAAATAAAATCCAAAAGATGAAAGAAAAATCCAAATCCATTTCCAAAATGCCAACTAAATAACCTCTGTACTATAGCCTCGTTTTTGAAGTTTTATAATTAACCACCCAATAAAATATTAATTTTCAAAAGCCATCAGTCAAAAAGAATCTATTGGCGTATTAATATTTAAAATAAAAAGGCTAACCCTCCAAGAATAAACAAAGGGGAGAAAATCCTACACACAAACTCAAAATGGTGCGGATTTATTGTCCTAAATTGACAGAATATGTATTTATTGCCCAGATTTAAGTAGGCCAACTTCATCAATAAAGTTAGTATATGGAAATCGATCATGGCCACTTTATTAATCACTGATCACCATAAGAGGCTTATACATGAACTAGTATTTTTATTTTGGCATCCGTCCATCCCATTGTGAAGATGGACTAGACTTCGCAGTATGAAAATTAAAGTATAATGAAGTATAAAGGTTACCGAAAAATTTTTGAAAAGAAATTTCATCGACAGAAAATTGATCAACGGAAGATTGACTGAACAGAAGTTTGGTAGAACTGAAGTTTGGTAGAATTTTATTTTCAGTTCACACTATCTTTTGGAGTGCACTATACTATATAGTACAACAAATTAATGCGTTCAAAAAGAACCCTGATTTTTTAGGGGATTCTTTAAGTTTATTTTTGTTATGAATGTGGGAAAATTAGTACTGGTCAGCTGGTTCAGAATCTGTAGTCCCCCCTTTAAATCTGTAGTCTTTAGATCTGTTGTGTCCCCTTGTTGCCTGCCCATGGATTCTTTAACCTCTTTTGTTGTAAACAATCTGTGAGATTTTGTCCAGAAGTTAATAAATATGTTAAACTACTGCTCTGGCAAATCGGAAAAGCTCTCTTAGAATGTTAATGAAGTTATGGAGAATCTCACAGATGCATCTTTCAAAATCAGTTTGAGAGTCAACGAATTGTAAGAAAATTTGAAGCAACTTGAAAATCTAAAAAAGGATATTTATTTTATGAAAAGTTCAGATTGCGAGGAAGCATTATTTGATACAATTTTGTACATACTGGTGTTGATTTATTTATTTTCATGTGTAATGTTCTGTAATGTTTTTACTATTTCTTATGCTTGTCACTTTTAGTATTCTATATGTTGTTACTTTTACTATTTCTGTATGTTTTTACTTTTCATTACTATTTCTGTAATTTTGTTACTGTTACTATTTTTCTTTATGTTGTTACTTTTACTATTTCTGTAATTTTGTTTCTTCTACTATTTCTGTAATGTTGTTACTGTTTCTGTAATGTTACTTTTACTATTTCATACTTGAATTAGTTCCCGATTATTTAGTACGATAGAGAAACAAACCAATTAATTCATTATGTAAATAAGCGTCAGTGTAGTTTCTTTGAAAATTTTTTAAATTTCAAAAGTAGATAAACATATTATTTTTTTTCTTCCAGCTCAGCAGATTTTCTCTCATGACCAACAGAGTGTGCAAGTCCCTCTTGCAACCTTCAGCTTGTTGCACCTTAGGCAGCACTAACACTACACTAATCAATACAGCGGTTCCTGCCAGGGGCAAGTGCTTTGACCATCACTTCCTGAACCGTTGGATGGCACGAGATTATAAGAGGAGGGTGCTGTGCAAAGAACACTTCCCTGTTAGGCAGCGTCTGATTGCCATCAAGAGGTGTTCTGTGCTTCCCAAGGAAATACAGGTGCTCATTTTCATTGGATGCTTGGATTAATGTTGTGGCCTTAATCAAACTATAACAGTTAAATGTGATACCTGCTAATGTTGTGGCCTTAATCAAACTATAACAGTTATATGTGATACCTGCTAATGTTGTGGCCTTAATCAAACTATAACAGTTAAATGTGATACCTGCTAATGTTGTGACCTTAATCAAACGGTTACTGGAAATTTGATCGAAAGAAATTTCGTCGACAGTAAATTGATCAACGGTAATTTGATCGAATGGAAATTTGGTCGAAAATATTTTTCAGTTCACACGTTAAAATTTTCGCCAAATTTCTTTTTCAACGCACTATACTATGAAGTAAAACAAAATAATGCGTTCAAAATGAAATTTGAAGCAAAATTTTAACGTAAAAACTGAAAAATCGATTAGACCTAATTTTCGTTGGATCAATTTACCATCGGCGAAATTTCTTTCGATCGAATTTCCGGATACGTAATCAAACTATAACAATTAAATGTGATACCTGCTAATGTTGTGGCCTTAATCAAACTATAGCAGCTAAATGTGAAACCTGCTTCTTAAAAAAAAAACAACCAATTACTTATAAATGGAATTATAAATATTTGGTTAAATTTACTGTTTTATTTGAAATCTATTTATATATCTAAGCATATTAAAAAATTTTTTTTAACAATTGTTGACGGAGAAAACGAATCAACATCTAAGAATTATGTATGTTGTTTTTATTTAGGCGATTGCTAGATTAGAATGTTTTTAATGTGTTTGATCTCCTGGCTCAATCAAACAGTTTTTGTCTTAACCCAGTGGTTCTCAACCTTCCTAATGCTGCGACCCTTTAATACAGTTCCTAATGTTGCGGCGACCACCAGCCACAAAATTACTTTCGTTGCCACTTCATAACTGAGAGCATATGTGTTTTCAAATGGGCGACCCCTGTGAAAGGGTTGTGCGACCCACAAAGGGGTGGCAACCCACAGGTTGAGAACCGATGTCTTAACCATAGTGAGTTTTGTGGAGGAGGGGAGAAGGGGGGGCGGGGAGCATGACATCATTGGATTTGAAATACTGGTATAGATCTAGTTATATAAAGCACAAGATGGGACTAACATACTAACATTTAAAAAAAAGCATTATCATGGATTTGATCTATAACATCACATGGTGTTTCAAATGAAATTATTTGAAAAATTCTGAAACATTAAGAATCAAATTAGAAAATAATTTTGTTAAAACTTTTGTACCATTTTTGTGGGCCCATTTTGTTTCTAATATGAACTGTTTTTTTGTTATCTTTGACAGGAAGTTGCAAGTCATGAATTGACAACTTTTCCAAGAGACTCGAACCCCAGCCGTATCGTCAACCGTTGTATTTTGACATCCCGACCCCGGTGGGTCATCTGGAGGTTCAGGCTAAGCAGAATTCAGTGGCGATTGTTGGCAGATTACAATAAAATGAGTGGCGTTATGAGGGCGAAGTGGTAGTTTGTAATGGATAGCTAATGAATGAACTTTTACAAGTGAACTCTAACAATAGGGGAGAATGATGTGCTATTAAACATATTGCCTTGCCGTCTGTTGAGTGTTTCTGGTGACAAGGTTTGATCAATCTGATCAGTTTACGATTAATTGTGTTGAGTGATAAAAAAAATATATATTTTATTATATTTCATTGGAGAAGTTTTTGAGATTTCTTCAAGTGAAGTTTTCATTCCATGATTGTTTCCTGGAAACATTGCACCTGTTAGTGAACTATATCTCATCTGTTAGTGAACTATAACTCACCTGTTAGTCGGCTAAATATTTACCTTTTAATCAGCCCAGTTTGATAAAATGGAAATTCCAATGAAAACTCCAACCCAAAATTGTGGTGTAAGAAATCATAACATTTTGAGTTTCAGTGCGAAAAAGTTCTCATTTTATTTCATCAAACTTGTGGATTGAGCTGCCACCTAGCAATAATATGTTCACTTTACTAAGGTTTTTTCCAATTTAGACTTAGTGTAAATGTATTTGAGTTTGCATTTCCAAGACATGAAATATATAGATAGCATAGGGGGATTCTCTGATGATTATAATGTGTCACCTAAGAGGATGAGCTTAGGATGAGTCTGATCTTTTTACATGAACAGACCTCTTGTCTCTTTTAAGGCATTGCTGTTGGTGAGGAAATGATAAAAATATAGAACGCATTTCATAACTTTGTTTTAAGAACCTCCATTGTGATGTTTGTTTGAATCATGGTTCATTTCTAAATATGCCTGATAACTGACTGAGGTTTAACAGGTTGTTTAAGGTGAGACAGAAGGAATGCATTTCTAAATGAAAAACAGAGGAACTCGAAGCATTTCTGTTTTATTATATTGTGCCCACTGTTAACAAATTAAAACTGAGAACGTTCTATTGTTAGCATGGCTTTTTGTCTTGTGATGGTCACATTCTGAATGGGTCAAATTAGGGTCATATTCTGAATGGGTGAAGTATGGTAATCACAGTCTGGATGGGTCAAATTTAGCTCAAGTTATGGTCACATTCTGAATGGGTCAAATTACATAGGCTTACATTCATGTTTCAGCTAATTATTAAATTGATTTATAATAGAGTAAGGGTTCGCAGAGTAGCTGTGCAGACCCACCTGAGTGGGCAGAGTAGTTGTACAGACCCACCTGAGTGGGCATAGTAGTTGTACAGACCCACCTGGGTGGGCAGAGTAGTTGTACAGACCCACCTGGGTCATCAAAGTAGTTTTACAGAACCACCTGGGTTGGCAGTTGGTAGAGTCGGTGTACTGACCCACCTGGGTAGGGAACCTCATTTCTCACAGGGCTCAGCCAGAGTTAAGGGTCAGTTAGAAGAGATTCTTAAGGAGATTTTTAAAACTATTAATTGTATGACTCAATAGTGAAGAATATTCTACACTGTGGCCAAATATTATTTCCACAAAAATATCTCTATTGTTTGATATATTTCCTTTAAGGTTAACCTGGGGTGAGGTTATAACGGCAATCAGATATTGTTATGTGAAGTTGTTAGTTGAAAGATAAATGTACTTAGGGTTTGGACCTGGTGCAGTGCACTGTCCCTGATCAAGCAATTAATTGGTTTTATTGTTGTTATAAAATTTGTGAAATGATTATATATTCATAATTCAACTCCCGCAAATGTATAGAGATGAAAGTAGATTTAGCCATGCTAGTTTGGAGATGAAAATAGATTTAGCCATGCTAGTATGGAGATGAAAGTAGATTTAGCCATGCTAGTATGGAGATGAAAGTAGATTTAGCCATGCTAGTATGGAGATGAAAGTAGATTTAGCCATGCTAGTACTAGCATGGAGATGAAATTAGATTTAGACATGCCAGCACTCATAGCCCATTAAAAATGAAACCATAAAATATATGATGAGAGATAATCGACGTTTTATAATCTAAAGTGAAACAATATCTTGTATATGTCCCAGTAGTTTTCTGAAACCGTTAGGTAGTTCCACTGCATTGTTTTTCAGTTCACAACCCACCCAAACACCTAAAAGGGTGAATTTCTCCCCTCGCTAACCCCTAGGATGAGCATGAAAGAGGTGTGCCACCATGAAAGCTTAGTCTCAATTTTGCTGTATGTTAAGGACGAGGTTCAACCCACCCAGCTTGACATGGTTACCCAACCAGCTTGACGTGGTTACCCAACCAGCTTGACGTGGTTACCCGACCAGCTTGACGTGGTTACCCAACCAGCTTGACGTGGTTACCCAACCAGCTTGACGTGGTTACCCAACCAGCTTGACATGGCATCGGTATGAGGAATATATTTGCACTGCAATAAATGGCCATAACAACAGGGGTTAGCTGCACCCCACTTGGTTTGTTAAATACGTTTCAGCTCTCTATGAACCAGCGAAGTATCTAAATGCTGGTATGCATTTCTCACTTGAATATGATTTTACAACAAACCTGTATGAGGATAATACTTACGTGGTACAATATACACATTACCCATAGGAAGGGAAAACAGTTGTTGAAAATAAAAAAAAAGGAAGATTCTAAGCAAAATTTTAAGTGGCGTAGCAAAAAGGGCGGGGCAGAAATACCCGGGTACCAGACCAGCTAGGGGCGCTAAAGTGGGTTTAGGTGTTAGGTTAGTATTGAGAAGAATGTGGAAGGGGGGGGGGGGTTAAAATAATAACTTTGTCCCCGGACGCCATATTCCCCTAGCTAGGCATTATAAACTGCTTACCATCAACCCCACACCATAGGGTACCAGACCAGCTAGGGGCGCTAAAGTGGGTTTAGGTGTTAGGTTAGTATTGAGAAGAATGTGGAAGGGGGGGGGGGTTAAAATAATAATCTTGTCCCCGGACACCATATTCCCCTAGCTAGGCATTTGAACAGTTCTCTCTTACTTGATGTTTACCTGTGATAAAAACTGCATGCTGACATCAATTTTCCCAGACAAATTATTTCAACAAACCGAGATACTGTGTCGATATCTAGATCTGTTCTCTTTGTTGTAACAATTTCATAAACTGAGGGTCTGATGGTTTTTAAAAAGTCCAGTATTTTTTCCAAAATGTGCCCCCCACCTCCTCCCCCCCCCCACTTCATTTATGAAGATATTTAGTTCTAATATGACCCTTTAATTTGAAGAGGCAGAAGGAAAAGTCAAACAAAAAAAACTTGATAAGGATTTGTTATAAATTAACATAAATTGATTTTAATAAAATGTAGAATTTTACAGCATATCAATATCATTCATTTAGATGGACAGCATATCAGTCATTTAGATAGACATCGTATCAGTCATTTAGTTAGACAGCTTATCAGTCATTTAGATAGTGTATCAGTCATGATCTTTGTTAAAATAGCAGGGCCATTAAGCCCTATGTACAGCTAACCTCTAATCTAAAGGGAAATTGTACCATTGTTGTTAGGCATGTCCCATCTGGTGTGAGATTAGGTTGTTCAATGGCCAGCAACATATGGAGGGTGCAGAAAGAGCACACACCACACACACACTATGATACTGGTAATACATTTTAATATTCCCAAGTAAAGTGAAAAACTTTCAAATGATGTCACACATATTTTTAATAATGTTCTTTTTTTTTTAAGTTTAAAAACTGATTGTCAGGAGAAAGTTGTCTTTGATCTTTCAAGGTGAGCCATTCAGAAAATAGGAGGGGGAGGGGGAATTACATAATGAGACACTTTTTGTGGTACGCATTATCCCCTGGTGGATTTTCAACGAATGGTTCATTGATTCGCTTGGACACAGCCATATGGACAAACTCCCTCGCATTCCGGGTCTCCATGACTATTGCATTGTCCAACAGCATCTTCAGACATTCCTTGGTCACCAAATCTAAGTCTGCCTCTTTCAAAAGTCTGCCCACGTGATTTATTCTGGTGGCGGAGTCTGTTTCTGGAAGTTTTAAACCGTCTTGTCCATGCTGCCTCACGAAAATTGCCTCTAATGGTTTTTGCTTTCCCATTTCTTTGGAATCAAAACTTTTCCCGTAGGTATCCATGTATTCATCATCTTCACTGGCGTTGTCTGTCTCCCTTTGCAAATCTGTTCCATTTTCTTGTCCTGGAATAGTCTCTGGGACATGACTGACCCATTTAATGATGGACTCCACTAGAAGATCAGGGGGTTGAATGGCTGACCCACATTCACTTAGTAATTGTTCAAAAGATTCCAGTGACATGGCGACAAACGTTTGAGATCTTATAAAGTCCCTGTAATGTTTCACCAGAAATGGGTAAATTGACTTCAGGACTCTCTCTGACTTCAGCAGCACGGCGCTTTCGTAAATGTTCAGATAATTACTCAGAGATATTTTGTTCATAATGAATTCTTCACACTCGGAGACAAGAAAGTTGATCTGAAGATCGCTGACCGCATGCCACAAGTCAATCATGTTCTGTTCTGTGAGGTTGTTCTCAGCTCTGTAGATGGAACCGAGGATATTTTCAAAGGTGTCAGGCTCGATACCTTTGATGGTAAGTATGACTACTGGCATTGTATCGCCTTTTTCAGTTGCAGTACGTAGAAGTATGTGGAAGAACTCAGAACATGCGCACATGTGGAATCGATGACAGTGGAACTTTCTATTGTCAATTCTTATTTGCAAGTCACTGAGCTTCTCGTCTGTCATTTGAAGCTTTCCCAGACTTTGTAAAACCAAGGCAGCTAACTTCGGTTTGTACGGCATTGTGTTTTGGTATGTCTTCTACTCCCACAATTTTTTAGATTGGCATCTGTTTGGGAAACAAAAGGAAAAATAAAATCCTTGACTTAATGAATATTTACATTAAAAATAATATGGTAGCCAATATATTAGGCCTATGGCGGCTGAGTTGATTTATTATTTTTTAGGGCAAAAATTAACAATTAATTATTCCATTAATCGATTAAATTTTCTTTAATAAGTAATTTTTCCATTACTTTTTTTTATTTTGGACCAAAATTTTTGCTTTCTTATTCTCTTGAAATTGAATACTATTTAGCAATGTACTAGTTTTAGTAGATTTTAATTTTTAGCAGATTTCTTTTTCTGTTTAGACAGCAAAACAACAATGGCGGAGAGTTGAGCAAGCAGTATACAATTTTGGTTGAATTAACTACAAAGGGTTCAAAATAAATCATTGTTTCACACAAATATACGTTGACTCTCCCACGTAACGTCCCAATATTATTTGAGGTCAGTCAATTTTATTTTAACCCTTTACAGTCCAAGCCTATTCACCCTTGTCTACTACTCCCAGCGCCCAAGCTTAAGGAAACAATCGTTGCATTGGAATGTAAAGGGTTAATCAAACAATTCAAACATACATGAATAACATCACCCGCTCCTTATAGTATAGTTAATCACTTGGCAGGCAAAATTGCACAGAGGATTCCTTGTTGTAACATCTGGAAAAAAAAGAAGAAGAAAATTTAAAAAAAACAACCAACGAGAACACAAAGCCGTAATGAGATTACTGAATAAAATGTTCTCATCAATCAGTTGGATTCTAAGAGAAACTGAACCTCTTGTGAACAAAGTTACTCCAAGGACACATGCAAAAGCAGGGAATATTAGATTGATTTTTGTTAACATGCTCCAAAAGAAATTGGAAGATTACCTCTAATACCCATATTAAATCTATACAGTTAATAAATAACCATCAAATGGAGATCTCTCAAGACTTGTGCATAACATTAAGTTCCAAATCTTCACACAACAGATTTCCTTTCAGTTTTTGTGGAATATCTTGAATTTAGGAAGTTCCCATTTGACTGTTTCTCCAGTCAAAGAATTATATCCTTGAATTTCCAAAGAGACATGACAAATTTTTTACCGGTACTCTTAGAAAATTTTTAATAATAAATGATTAGCAGCTAAATTTTAAACCAAATGTCAAACTAATCCTTTGTATGATTTTATGTGTGGAGTGCCGCGGGGAAAGCCTTGGTTTGGTGTCTGGGGAAAGCCTTGGCTTGGTGTCTGGGAAGAGCCTTGGTTTGGTGTCGGGGAGAGCCTTGGTTTGGTGTCTGGGGAGAGCCTTGGTTTGGTGTCTGGGGAGAGCCTTGGCTTGGTGTCTGGGGACAGCCTTGGTTTGGTGTCTGGGGAGAGCCTTGGTTTGGTGTGCCTTTGGTGAAAAAGGCTGCGGAACACTGCCCCTAAATGAAATCTATTTGTACCATATTACCAAAAGAGGACCCTCGTTGTAAAACATTGAGTTATGCCTGTCTGGCATTTTATTTAATGTACCGTACCTGGTATTCATATATTAGATTCTGTTCATAACTTTTTGAATACTGGTTTTAGAATAAAATATAATACAAATAGTCTACATGACACAGACTGGATAGAATTAGTATACAATACTTATACTGACATTAGACATTTATAGACATGGATTGATTAATATACATGACATTGGTTTAAAGAGATGGTAATGATTTTTAGACCTGATAATGATTTATAGACATGGTAATGATTTATAGACTGTGTGACTGGCATGCCTAGGATATGGCAGGTAGGGCAGTTGCCCGGGGTCGTGGAAAACTTTTTACAATTTTCAATAAAGTGTCAGCGTGCTATCTGGAGAAACCCCAATAGGTTTGTTAACGGGTGTTGGTGGGCGCCACACTTAACAAATGTAAACAACCACCCATAACGTTCCATGATTTGGTCATTAAAGATTTGTTAACCTGCTCATTTGATTTGATCATTGAAAGAGAATAAAATGAATATATATTACATATAGTACAACTCATGAAAGTCTTTTGTGACGTCACTGTTTACAAAGCGTGGCTGTAACTGTAATAGATCCAAAACTGTTTAGGTGCTAAAGATTTAGATTCCTTAAAAAGCTTTCTCTGGAAGTTGTACAAATATCCTACAGAAATCATGATCAATTCAATAAATTGTTGTGCACAACACTCTCACAGTTTACACTGCGCAAATAACACAGTTAAATAGTATTCACCCAGTCTACCTTTCTCTATCCTTTGACTTTTACATGCAAAGTCATTAAACACTGTTAGACAGGCTTCCTAATAATGCACCACAAAGTCATTAAACACTGTTATAAGTTATACAGGCTTCCTAATAATGCACTACAAAGTCTTTAAAAGTGAGTAATGTTTAATGCAAATTACGCTTCTGTTTAAATGACATGGCATTAATAAATGAACTAAGCGTCACATGACACTTGTGGTTATTGATCATTTTCGATACGCCTCATATAGCAACGCCCGTGACGTAAGAGAGCACAATTCACTTAAAAGAACACACATGACCTAGTTAAGTCAGATCTAGACTAACATCACGCACAAGGTATTTGTTGCCGATTTAGACCGAGGTGGTATATTTCACGTTATCCAAGTCGTCATTCGTATTTCAAACAACAGAAGTTACGGTACAATTACAACTTAGAAATTAAATGATTGCAATAATCAAAGAAGAAGTCTCAAGTGGTCCGAGACAGCCGGGGGTTCCACTATCACTCACTATGTGACGAATCGAAATTCAAATAAATCAAAGTGTTAACACATTAGCCCGAGCATATAGCACGCAGGATTTCAAAACACATTGTCGTTGTCAATCAGCCATGGTCCGTACTGAACTGTGTTACAGATTGGTATGACAGCACACGGTCGTATAATTATATCGTGGTCAATTCTTTTCAATGTCAAAATTCCATTTCACGTCATGATGCGATTGACCTTCAAGAAAGTTTGACTCGAGTTCAACCATGCGATTATCATTCGAACATCTAATGGCCATCATGATGACGTCATATAGTGTTGCTGGATTTTAATTTTAGTATCGTCTAATAACTTATTGACTGTTTCTCAAGGATGCGGTAGGGACATGAGGAATCAGCCAACCGTATCCTGATAATTAATAATTGTTATTTTATTCTATGATCCGAACATTCAATTTGGCTGGGAAAAAAGGGGATCATTAAACCTCAAAAAGGGGGGGGGGGGGAATGAACCATTTCAAGTGACCAATAAACCATAAAAAGGCCAAAATAATTGTTATTTTATTCTATGATCCGAACATTCAATTTGGCTGGGAAAAAAGGGGATCATTAAACCTCAAAAAGGGGGGGGGGGAATGAACCATTTCAAGTGACCAATAAACCATATAAAGGCCATCACACACGTCTTCATTCCTCTTGACAATGAATTTGGTTGGGCAAGATCCTGGGCCCCTCAAACGTTTTCTTCCTCCTTTCAAATGATAAAGTTAATATTATAAGGAAGATTCAGGCGATTAAAAAAACGCCGTTATTTGGGCAGGGCGGGTAGGTTAGGGGGCAAATATGCAGGTTTTATTTCAATTGGTCATAATAAGGGGAATACAAGAGAAACGGGTATGGGAAATCCTGAAACCTGTTGCTTTTCTTCTCTCCACGTTTTCCCATACTTTGTTTTCTCATTATTTGTTTCCTCATACTGTGTTTCACAAATTTCCATTTATTTCAATTGCTATGCACTGTGGCGCCTCCAGTAATGACTCAACAAGCTGGCCAAGTTTTGGGTTTGCGCCCCCCCCGCCCCACCCCACCACCCAACACCACCCCACCTCCCAACCCCACCCCCACCACCACCACCCACCACCCAACCCCACCCCCCACCACCCAACCCTCTTTAAAAAATTAAATGATGTTCCTGTTAACAACTTTCCAGGCGAGTCGTCCCAGTTATTGGACAGTGCAGACAGTGGAGACAGTGCAGACAGTGGAGACAGTGCAGACAGTGGAGACAGTGCAGACAGTGTAGACAGTGCAGACAGTGTAGACGGTGTAGACAGTGCAGATAGTGTAGACAGTGCAAACAGTGCAAACAGTGTAGACAGTGCAGACATTGCAGATAGTGTAGACAGTGCAGACAGTGTAGACAGTACAGACAGTGTAGACAGTGCAGACAGTGTAGACAGTACTGACAGTGTAGACAGTGCAGACAGTGTAGACAGTGCAGACAGTGTAGACGGTGTAGACAGTGTAGACAGTGCAGACAGTGTCGACAGTTCAAACAGTGCAAACAGTGTAGACAGTGCAGACATTGCAGATAGTGTAGACAGTGCAGACAGTGCAGACAGTGGAGACAGTGCAGACAGAGCAGACAGTACAGACAGTGCTATAAATTATAACGTTTTAACATTGCCCAACTGAGCGACTAGCGTAACACAACGCTTTCAATGTGATCTTTAACACACAAACATGACGAAATGAAGCATTATCATTAGCTGCTGTTGACAAGCAACTGTTTGTTTCCCATTGTTATCTTAACCAACAACACTGCTCCAGTCCATGGACCCAGGCGTAAACTATTTGCTTCTTGTGACATTATCTTTTCTATCACTATTACGTGTTCTGAGGTTTAACATAATCAAAAGATAGAATTACTGTTGGTTCTTAATTATTAACATTTTCACTTATTGATTTAAACAAATTTGTTTTGATTATGTCTACATTGTACAAACTTGATTTCAGAATGTTATTTATTTGTATTACATTGTAACCTACACATTCAATTTCAGCATGTTATTTATTTTGATTACATTGTACACATTCAATTTCAGCATGTTATTTATTTTGATTACATTGTACACATTCAATTTCAGCATTTTAAACAAAAACACAGGACACAGGATAAGAATAAACAATTCAACAGTGTGTAATAAATATTTCAACGCAATATATTTGTGAATGCGAGGCCCCTTTGCATTTAAGGCCAATGTGAATATGATGCCCCTTTGAACGGGAACGGAAGGCCCCTGTGAACGTGAGGCACATGTAAATGTGAGGACCCTATGAGAACCCGTCCAAATAACCCAATAATGACCCCCCCCCCCCCCCCCCCCCATCTTTTAGAAAAATATAAAATCCGAGACTTCATGAATCCAACAGGAACAAAAAAATACATATGTATGCGGAAAAAAGATGCCTCCATCGGCCTTTTTCATCTAGATGAGCCACTACATATGTTCATGGCTTTCACTCTAAGAAATAGTTGAAGGTTGTTAGTTGCACAGCTGCGCACTTTCATTGGGCGATAAGCTAAACATGGCGGTCATGGCGCCCTTCAGTTGCTATAATTAGAGTGAGTCAATCGATATTTCTCACTAAAGGGTTGCCTGGCCAGTGTAGTTCTTTCAAGGTAAAAGGAAACACGGTTAAAAAAGAGAAAAGTGCGCCCTGTGTTCTACTTCAGATTAGATGAAGACATTATTTACATAGACTAATAATGTGAGTAATAACACGATTCATGTTAATTTTTTTTTTTAAATAATGAAATTAATGATTAATTTTTAACGAAACCTAAAAACATACGGCATGGAGGCATCTCTCTTACCGTGCACTGACCAGTCACAGAAATATAATTAATTTCCCGTATCCGTAAACGATGGGCGCACCCCGTGTAGTGAAGCTCCGGTAGGCCTACTTCATGTGTCATGCTGAACGCATTGGCCTGCCAAACTGATGTGCGTGGCCACAGTTACCAGTTGTACCCAGTTTCCCCAACATTCAACTTGCTGCCATGTGTAATATTCTAACTAAGGGAGCTTCCACTCTTGGATATCAATGGTCAGTTTCTTAGAGCCACGTCAAACAACGGGTGTTGTTTGCCTGTTGGCAGATGTCTACACGTCTAGCAATGAAGGGGCATGGACGTAGCGTTGATGACCCTGCAGGAGAGCATAGTGGGCAGGGGGTTGTGGAGGGGGAGGCGCCTCAGGTGGCACTCATATTGAGGGGAGGCATTTTCGGTTAACTGTGGAGTTTTTTTTCGTGGAAGTGGTGGGGGCGGGGGCATAAAGTTTAACGTTTCGCCCTCCCTTGGCGGCTTTAACCCTGACTACGCAACTGACAGTAGAGATATAATAATAATAATAATAATAGTAAAGCTTATTTGAAAATCACGCTTCATCCCCAAAGGCTCGAAGCATGGTACAAAGTCATCAATGTTAAAAAGAAATGAAAAAAAAATCTATATTTTGCCACATTGAAATACAAAACGCAACATTACAAAAACTACATACGAGAATACCCATTCTAAGTCTTTCATCCTTTGCAACCATAAACAACACAGGCCACTTTACATCTAGGAGATATTAGTTAGCTGGAAAAGATGGTAGACAAATTCACCCCAACATATTATCGCTTGAGCCCTACTGCAGCCTTTAGATTAGCCTAAACTTTTTATGTGGATGACCACATTGACAATTGTAAAGCTATTTGGGGGACCGCATGCATAATATAATGTCCAAGTTGTACATGTAGATTAATATTTCTCTATATTAAAATTGGTAAATTCTAATTTTAGCAATGACAATAGTCAAGGACTGTTTTAAAAAATCGAAAATTAGAAAGTTGATCAAAAATGTTAAAACCAGCATAACGGTGCATGAAATTCGGTAAAATTCAACAAAATAACTTAATAGCAAAGTAGTTATATATATATATATATATAAATATATATATACATATATGAATATGTGGCAGTGTATGCCCCGTTATTTGGAAACCCGCTATTAGACCCGTTATTTTGAGTCTACCGCTATTAGTACGAAAACCATGTGTGGCGCCCAACGCGAGGTCGCGCGGTGTGACCTCGCCTAGCACTGGATCGGAATGTTGACCTCAGGTATCCCTGTCACCCCAGACCGGACGGTCTCTATACGGCCGGCTTCTCTCGCGAATAAGGAGGAAATAATAAAATACCACGATGTGCGCTGTAGTTTGAAATTCAATAATTTATTTCTCGGGAACCCTAGCGTATTAAGTTATAAATTATATCTAGTTAGAAAGGGGATTCTATTCACTATTCCATAGCATATTTATAAGTCTCCATCGTTGGAGGATATTTGAACATTGAGTCATTATAGGGGTTGTCACCTTCATCTATAGTGGTCCCCACCCCCTTCTAGTTAAAATATCTCAAAATCATTTTAACTCATAGAAATATAAAATAGCCTCTTAGAGAGCTGAGACAACACTGCACTGGACACATATAAGTCGTTAGGGCTTTGGTCAGAGATTTTAATTATGACTCGGGTGTAGTCCCCAGAGTTAGGCATTTTATCCCAGGAAATTGGTCAGAAGGCAAAACTTAGACTGACTTGGTTTAAGTGTGACGGAGGGGCTCTCTCATATGTCCACGCACGGCTTTATAAAGGGGTGCACACTAAGTAGGGAGGGGGGGTCATTCGAGATTGGTCAGCATCCCTGCAGTGTGCCATTGTTCAGTGCGGCCCATTGGAACGCTCTATATTGTCCTTTTTCTTCATAGTGGACTTTTGCCTTAGTCTTTATATTTTCTTAGGGCTTTTCCTTTGGACCTGTCGGTCACAGCGATATTTTCCTGTAGAGCATTAATAAAGCTATAGTCCTCGAGACCTGCATTTCTTCATTTGTTTATTAATAACGGCCAGTGGCAGGATTGGTACCACACAAGCACCAATCCCCTACCCCACCCACACTACTACATATATATATATATCTAAATGCATTCGAGGGCCGCAGTTTGCCCACCTTTGGCCTAGGGCTTAGTGCAAGCAGCAGTTAGATTACATATCAAGAGTTTTTTCTCACTCGAATTACACTTACATCACATCTACCGAATTTATGATTATTACTCAATCGACAATAATTCACAATTTAAACTGATCGGTATCAGTCTGATTTGATGCGTGTGGGTGGAGAAAGGATGTGCGTGGGTGGAGAAAGGATGTGCGTGGGTGGAGAAAGGATGTGCGTGGGTGGAGAAAGAATGTGCGTGGGTGGAGAAAGGATGTGCGTGGGTGGAGAAAGGATGTGCGTGGGTGGAGAAAGGATGTGCGTGGGTGGAGAAAGGATGGGCGTGGGTGGAAAAAAGGATGGGCGAGGGTGGAGGAAGGATGTGCGAGGGTGGAGAAAGGATGTGCGAAGGATGTGCGTGGGTGGAGAAAGGATGTGCGTGGGTGGAGAAAGGATGTGCGTGGGTGGAGAAAGGATGTGCGTGGGTGGAGAAAGGATGTGCGTGGGTGGAGAAAAGATGTGCGTGGGTGGAGAAAGGATGTGCGTGAGTGGAGAAAGGATGTGCGTGGGTGGAGAAAGGATGGGCGTGGGTGGAAAAAGGATAAGCGTGGGTGGAGAAAGGATGTGCGTGGGTGGAAAAAGGATGTGCGAGGGTGGAGAAAGGATGGGCGTGGGTGGAAAAAGGATAAGCGTGGGTGGAGAAAGGATGTGCGTGGGTGGAGAAAAGACAAAATGCCGCAGTAACATGATGATTCTAAAAGCAGTGGAATATAAAACAAAAAAGATTGGGGGCGAAGGGGGGGGGGCGTGTGGCACGTTTTTCCTTATATAGCGGGGCGGCATTTTCGGCCAGCTGCAGATGTTTTATCGTTCAATGGGGCGGCAACAATCTTCGTCGGCCCCAGGTGGCACTAACCCTAGGTAAGCCACTGCCTACAAGTTAGACACTTAGGTAACCCCGACGGGCCACAGTAGAGTAAAAGTGAGGAAATACATGTTTTAGTGTGTGCAGTTGAAAGAATTGATATTTAATTATAAACTATTTCGAATCTTTCGTTCCATAAGCATAAAACACAATAAAAATGGATGCTTCCTTACTGTCATTAAATTTTAGCGATGTACTATGATAGGTAAAATAATTCTTTTTTTTCTTCTTTTTTTTTGGGGGGGGGGGGGTGTTAGGGGTTAAAAAATCTATATAACCGTATTGTTTATAAGAAATGTAACATATATTTATTTTATTTAAGTTAAAACCAAATTAATTTCAAATGACCGAACTGCATTTGTTGCCGGACCAAAGTTTGAGTTTTCATCGAACCGAACCCTTCTTACGACTAGCCTCGAACCGAACCCTTCTTACGACTAGCCTCGAACCGAACCCTTCTTACGACTTACCACGAACCGAACCGTTCCTATGACTTACCACAAACCGAACCCTTCTTACGACTAGCCACGAACCCAGCCCTTTTTACGACTTACCACGAACCGAACTTCCAAAAGAAGATTCGAATTTTATCGTGAGGAAAGGAAAGAGAGGTGGTATTGTCGGCCAACTGCTGAGTGGGGGTGGGGGGGGGGTGTGGGTGTCAAAAGCTTAAAAACATTTGTCCTATTGAGGTTAAGTATAAGTTTTAAAAAATTTATATTGCGGTCAAGAATAACTTATAAAGTTAGACATTTGGTCTATTGAAGTCAAGTAGAAGTTAGACATGTGTTATATAGAGGTTAATTATTAGTAGTTAGACATTTGGTCTATTGAGGGTAAGTATAAGTTTACCAATAATCATGTTTGAATATGTTTCTATTCAAAGTCACATATTTAGGAGAATGTTAAAATCTACAGATGTACTTTTAACAACTATGTTTTTCTATTTAAAAAAATCAGTGACAAACCAGAGACTCTAACAAGACGAAACATTCTCCAACGCCATGTCGTTCACACCACTTTATGCTGCCTGGGTTATCCAAAAATTGGGAAATCTCCAAAAGACGGACGAGAATCTCAGCGACTTGAAAATCCGCATCGGCGATACCCAATTCCACTGTCATCGATTTCACATGAGTGCCTGTTCCGAGTTCTTCCGCGTGCTTCTTGGCATCGAGGAATCTAAAGAAAACGATACTAAACCCGTAGACGTTTCCGAACCTGTAGTCGTACTTACCATCAAAGGTATCGAGTCTGACACCTTTGAAAATATCCTCGGTTCCATCTACAGAGCTGAGAACAACCTCACAGAACAGAACATGATTGACTTGTGGCATGCGGTCAGCGATCTTCAGATCAACTTTCTTGTCTCCGAGTGTGAAGAATTCATTATGAACAAAATATCTCTGAGTAATTACCTGAACATTTACGAAAGCGCTGTACTGCTGAAGTCAGAGAGAGTCCTGGCGTCAATTTACCCGTTTCTGGTGAAACATTACAGAGACTTTATAACATCGCAAACGTTCTTTGCGATGTCACTGGAATGGTTTGAGGATTTCCTCCATAAATGTGGGTCAGCCATTCAACCCCCTGATCTTCTAGTGGAGTCCATCATTGCATGGGTCAGTCATGTCCCCGAGACGATTCCCGGACAAGAAAACGGAACAGATTTACCAAAGCAATCGGACATGTTAAATTCCAATAAGAAGAAACGCAAGCAGAAAACTGAAAAGGGTGAAGAATTAGACGATGCAAATACACGGAAGCTTACTGAAGTCGTGTTTGTGAAGGTCCACGGCAAAGATGGGATCAAAGCTAAACCCATTGGGGCTGATACGAGGAGATCACACGTTGGGACGCTGCTGAAGGAGACCAATTTGGCATTGGTCAGCAGGGAGTGTCTGAAGACGCTTTTGGAGACTGACATTGTGATGGATCGCAAAGACGCGAGAGAGTTTGTCAATAAAACAGTAGCCCAGCGAATGGAATCCCAGGTACCTGAAAATCCAAATGTCACCGAAAAGCCACTAGCCAGATTTTATTTATGTATTGTTATGTAATTAATGTTGTGATTACATGACTCGGTGGAACCTTTTTGACTTGGTGGAGCATTTGTGGCTTGGTGGAGCATTTGTGACTGGGTGGAGCCTTTGTGACTTCATGGAGCATTTGTGACTTGGTGGACAATTTATACATTTTTTTGAAAAATGGGTTACTTGGTGGAGTATTTGTGACTTGGTGGAGCATTTGTGACTTGGTGGAGCATTTGTGATCTGGTGGAGCAATTTTAAATGGCGCATTTGTGACTTAGTGGGGCATTTGTGAATAGCTCTTGTGACTCGGAAGAGCATTATGGAATGGTCATGTGACCTGCTGGAACATTGGTGAATGATTTTGTGTATCGTTGGAAATTTTTGAATTGATATTGTGACTTGGTGGAGCATTTGTAAATAATCGTGTGATTTGGTGGAGCATTTTTGGTATTGATCTTGTTCCAAGCTGAATATTATGTTTAATTTTGGAGAAAACAAAAGTGACGTTTAAATGTATTTTACTGGCTGTGTCACTCATTTTAGTTGTAACGAAATGTCAAAGGAATTTAATTACTATTCAGGGCCGGCCTTTAGGGTGTGCGACCTGTGCCCTCGCACAGGGCGCCTGGGAGTAGTATAGTATGTAGGAAACGCTTAGTATTTTGGAGGAGGTTGGGAGGAGGTTCTCCTCCAAGGAGGAATAATTCGATAATTACTTTTTTGTAATTGTCTTATAAAAGTTACCTCCCTTTGCTTTGTACTGTTGTAAGCGTGTAATTATATTGAATTGATTAATTATATTTGTACTGTTGTACAAGGCTATATTTGATTGATTAATTTGTGCATGCCTATAATTATTGATTTGTAATTAGTTTGATTAATTTTAAAATTATTTTAAAAAGAAGACAAAAGAGGGATTCGTTTTTTATATTACTTTTATTATATCATTCAATGTAATCAATTTAAGTGGTGATCATAGTGTTTTGGGTATATTTTTTCTTGTATTTTAATTAGTTTTCTTGTCTATTTTAAGTGATTCTCAAAGTATGGGGGTCATTTTCGGTTGCATTTTAATAGGTTTTCTGATATTTTTAATTAGTTTTTATGTATATTTAAAGTGGTTATCACGATGTCGGGGTCGATTTTCTAATAAGTGGTTCTCATTAGGTGTGAATCATAACGAGTTTTCTTCTCGTTATGGAATAATTCTGTTGTAACAGGATAACTTTATTGAATTTTATTGATGAGTATCAAATATTTCTCATTTTCAGGGGGTTCTCAAAGTACTTTTTGGTTGTATATTTTCTTGTATTTTAATTAGTTTTCTTGTCTATTGTATATGGTTTGGTAGGCAGGACAGGTGGTTTTAAGCTTCTTCTTGGCAAGTTTGAGGACTGAGTAGGGTCCTAATTAGAGTTATTGTAGTGTGTTGTTTAAATTTTTAGGCTTAGTGAGTTATGTTTTGTGCGCATGATAGATGTTTTAAGTTTCTTGTTGTCAATTTTCGATTGAGTGGTTATCATTTTTTCTAAAAAGTGGTTCTCATTAGGTGTGAATCATAACGAGTTTTCTTCTCGTTATGGAATAATTCGATTGTAACAGGATAACTTTATTGAATTTTATTGATGAGTAATCAAATATTTCTCATTTTCAGCGGGTTCTCAAAGTGTTTTGATTGTGTACTTTCTTGTATTTTAATTAGTTTTCTTGTATATTTTAAGGTATTCTCAAAGTATGGGGGTCATTTTTGGTGGCATTTTAGTAGGTTTTCTTATATTTTTAATTCGTTTTCTTATATAGTTAAAGTGGTTATCACTATATCGGGGTCAATTTTCTAATAAGTGGTTCTTATTAGGTGTGAATCATAACGTGTTTTCTTTTTGTTATTGAATAATTCGGTTGTAGCAGGATAATTTTGTTGAATTTTATTTGATGAGTAATCAAAGATTTCTCATTTTCAGCAGGTTCTCAAAGTGTTTTGATAGTATATTTTCTTGTATTTTAATTAGTTTTCTTGTCTATTTAAAGTGGGTATCACGATGTCGGGGTCGATTTTCTAATAAGTGGTTCTCATTATGTGTGACTCATAACGAGTTTTCTTCTTCTTATTGAATAATTCTGTTGTAACAGGATAAGTTTATTGAATTTTATTGATGAGTAATCAAATATTTCTCATTTTTTCAGTGGGTTCTCAAAATGTTTTGATAGTATATTTTCTTGTATTTTAATTAATTTTCTTTTCTATTGTATATGGTTTGGTAGGCAGGACAGGTGGTTTTAAATTTCTTCTTGTTACCAGGCACACATTTCATTTCATCTAGCCACTCAACCTCTTTCCATCCAACATTACCCGTCAAAACTTTACGATGGTCATCTACCATATCATATACCAAGTTAGTGTTTTGTCTTCTCTGACCACAGACATCTGTCTTCGTCTCATCTAACAGATCTTCCTACCTCCATCTTTTTTTCTGATCATCTCAACTCTTTCAACATCTCTCATGCTTCCACAGCCAAGTCCACAGTCAAACATTATTAATATGTCCAACAGAACTCAAACATTACCATGTCTTACTCGAGGCTCTAAACAGCTCTTAACAATACGGTTTTTAACTTTTCATCAACCCACTGAACCAAAGTTCATATCAACTAATGTAGCTAAACGTTTCCAACGCAACTATCGGAGTGTCCTCAAACACATAACTTCCATTTTGCGAGATGAGCGACTACCCATCCACTTGTATTCCACTGGTATGAACCAGTTACATGACTAGAGATTACACTATTCCTACCATTCATGTCAGGTACCCAGGCCGTTTATCCCAGTTAATCTACACACTTATGAAACAACACAATCAACCACAGCGGGCAATGACCAGGGAGGGTAATGAACCTCGTTAGAGTCGCTTATCAAAACCTAACAAGGGCTGCAACTCGGTTGGAGTTAGGGCTGTGTAGGTCTTTTGACAATAACACCAATAAAACTATTTAACTATTTTGTTTATTTATTAGTGTTTGTGTGTGAGTTTCCCACCCAAACACCCCCACCAAACCGATTCTAAACTCCCTCAGTCTATTATAGTGAAGTGTGAACCTCGGGTCCGAGGGTCGAGAAACGGTATTCTAACTTTACGTGCAATCGCTCTTCATACAATGAAAGGTGCATTCTTAATTTGGATACAGGGACAGGGAAGAGGGCGCAGGGCAAATGTTTACCTAAGGCTTAACTTTGGCGCCCCTTATAACTAAAATCATTAAAGAAAAAAAACAACTATTTATTCGGTAAGGAGTTTATTACCTATTTGGTTGTTTTTTAAAAACAAACAATAAACAAAAGCAAAGGTAATAAACTCTTTACCGAATAACTAGTTTTTTCCTTTAATGATTAAACTTATTATAAGGGGCGCCAAAGTTAAGCTTGCACAGGGCGCCAGCAACCGTCGGGCCGGCCCTGTACTATTGCTTTATTACTGAGCAGACCTTTGACCAGTAGACTTATTCCCGATCATTAATGAAATAGTGGAACAAGGCATATTGAACTTGAATAATTAGACAGGACAATACGATTGGAACGTTTGAGCTTTGAGCCTTCTTCAGCAAACAACAGAAATAGAAGGAAGACAAGTAACAGAGCACAGTAAAAAAAAAAACTTTAGAGATCTCTTTTGTTTTTAATGTCATCTGACCTTTGGAGGTTCACTGCAAGATTTCGGTTTTTGTGCCCCCCCCCCCCAGCATGCAAAGTAAATACTTCAATTTTCATTACATCACAAATTTAGGCCTCTTAAGGATCCGAGGCCCCCTGCAGGGCCCACAGGATGGCTCCGGAGGCAAGCCAAGTAAGTAGGCCTACATACAGTCTGCCGGTAGATGCGGACAATGGAAAGGCTGCCGTCAAAGATAACTTGGTGGATGAAACAGAACCGTCGCCAACTAATGGAGCCCCCCACCCCCACACCCCCCCCCCGACACATTTCGGGGTTCTCCCCCCTTGCATGCAATTTTTAAATGTGATCGTTTAATTATGTTCCAAATCACAACTTTGAGCCACTTAGATATCCGAGCCCCACTGCTGCCTCGGGGCCCCACTGCTGCCTCGGGGCCCCACTGCTGCCTCGGGGCCCCACTGCTGCCTCGGGGCCCCACTGCTGCCTCGGGGCTTGCAGGGCGGCCCCACTGCTGCCTCGGGGCCCCACTGCTGCCTCGGGGCCCACTGCTGCCGGCCCCACTGCTGCCTCGGGGCCCCACTGCTGCCTCGGGGCTTGTAGGGCCCACGTGACGGCACTGGTAGTAAGCTGTTCATTTACACACTAAAAGATTCCTATCGCATTGATGACTTCAACAAAAGTATTATTGTTATTTTCTTTGTGGCAGAAACATTCCCCCACAACATTTACTGAAATAATTTTTGCCGGTAAATAATTTTAATCCCACCCTAATTACAAGACTCACGCCTTCAACTTTTTCGTCATAAATTATCGTGACTGTAAATATCACTACAGCTTCGACTCCCGTTTTCCATGCCATCCCCTGCAACTTGATTGTCACAAACTAACGCGACAGGTGGTCAGAGACAGTTTTGGTCACAGCACAGGGCCTACCTGTTTACCAGGTCTTAACAACACTGAATCGATAGGTAATATTTTAACGGCGGTGATTGTAGTCAATGAAAACACTGTGTGTGTGTATATATATATATAGCCTTTAATCAGACCTTCGACATTTACAAAGGTTAAGAATGAAAATGTAATCATTACAATAGGTGTATAATTAAATATTGTTAAAATTGCGTTCAATTAAGTGGAATTTGAATTTGTTTACATTTATAAGTTTAAATTCCGCGTTTCGTGAACTCATATTGTTACTTGCCTCGACATAAAAAAAATCTGAAATCTTCCCGCCCTCAGATTCATGACGTCATTTATCACTGGTTCCCTTTAATAAATAACTTTTTTGCCTTAGAAATTTTCATAGTATAGTTATAAGCTAATCGTATCTCTTCTTCTTCTTCATTTTCATACGTCAGCAAAAATTGGCATTTGTCATGCTTGATTTGTTGTGCAACATTTTAACTGGCTGAAATAATAATGTGTAAAGTGGTGTTCTTATATGTTGAAAAGTCCTTGAAATAAAGACAGTTTGTCAAATGTATTTAGCAGCCTGCAGAGTGTTAAAATATATACAACTCAAAAACTAAAAATGATTTAACACATACACTTGTTTCTGTTCTTTTTACTTTCAAATAAATATTAATAGCCTAAAGTTCTAGGTAAGGAGAGTGAACCTTATGACCAGGGCAATGCAAAAGTGGAGTTTGTATTAAAATTTGTGTATGTGTGTGTGTGGAGAGGGGCAGGAAGAGGCTCCAACCATGCAAAACTGGTTTAAAACAAAGTCCAGCGGTACAGAAAACAGTTTACAAAGATGGAGAGCAAATCTTTGAGAAAATTCATTCCTATTTATTTACATATAATAATTCTTTTCTGTGAAAATTCATTGTTTATTTAAAAGCAGTCAGCTTTAAATACAAGAAACTTTTACTTAAGATATATTGCATGTAGTAAAATCATTAAACATCACAATTTCTAAAAGTGTAAGTTCTTACAAAAGATTTCCTGACTGTACCCACTGGTGTACAGAATTGATCACATTGTTATAATAATCAGCAGTTTGTAATATATATTAATAAAACAGGCCATAGTTTGCATAAGTGTAACGCTGAACAATAAATTCTCATCTCTTTTATTTTACTGAAATAGTGACGGAAAATACTAGATTATGAACCAACATTTTAAATAACTTGCTCATAAAGGTGACTCAAAGTTGGTTAAAAAAGTGTGACTAATTGAATAAGTTAACACACACATATTTTCATCACTAAAAATTCTGCATGGTAAAATATTTTCATACTTATAGACATACTGATACAACAAAGCATATTAAAAAAAAAATCATTCACTCCAGTAACACTGAAATCACATATCCTCTAACAGTTTAACTGTCTACAAATAAACAGAGGCATTACTATATAATGTTTGTGTAAAATAAAGGATTTAACAGATATATTGTTTAATGAAGATTCAGGGTGTCCTCCATGGAATAAAACATTACATATGTTCAGAGTTTCAATTTATTAGTAAGCCTACCTATATTAAGACTTGTTATTTTTCAAGGATAGATGGTTTGAACAAATTTAATTTTTAAAATTTCATCTACATAAATAGCCTTTGTTTTAGAATGAATTTTGATTATAGGGGAAATAACTGTAGTAGTAAGCTTCTGCCTATAATAATTATGAGAAAATGTTCAAAATTTGGTTTTATAATCAGCAATTATAGTAAATTTAATTATTTAAAAAGCCAGGATAAGCAGAAAGCATGTCAGTAATATTCTAATAAGAACCACAGTTCAAAAAAAATTTATCCCTGTAAAGCAAAAATATTATCTCCACATTTGCAGACAAAAAACAAGAACATAAATCACAGTGAGAAAATCATTCCTTAAAAAAAAAAAGATTGTCTTTTTGACGAGTTTGGCCAATTTACGTGCTTTCAATAAATTCTCGGAATTCTTCTAGACTGATATGCCCTTCTGGGTTGGCGGTTATCAAACAAATTACCTGTAAGAGCAATAAAAAATAAAATAATAGAATTAAACGTAAAAAAAGAAAAATGTGTTATCTGTTAAACTTAACCAATTAATTGTCTGCCTCCTTTAAAATGATGATACATGAAACACATTGAGTTATTTATGTAAGGCACAACAATGATGACTGATAGTTTACTTACAGACTGAAGGACATCCTGGTCCACAGGAAGCTGAAGCCTCTTGCAAATATCTCTCAAATTGTTGATGTCAATGTAACCGGTGCGATCATTGTTGTAACGCAAAAACATCTCATCTATGCGTGATTTGTCTGTGATGGCTAACTTCTTCAACTGGGCCCGCACTTGCTGGACCATATACTCAAGATCACCTGGCCTGAAATTTTTATTACATTTTAATTTTAAAAATAAAGTACTCTTTTGTTTTTTCTTGGAACCAATTCATAATATAATATTTTAGTGCTCCCATTAAATATGAAAATCTTGATGAATTGAAAACAATATAGGTATCTTTTTTTTTATTTAAGAGGCAATAATCGGATCATCAAATAATTTTATAAGGTCGGATAAAGTTAACACTAGAAGTAATTCATTACTTGTATTGGTATGTCTAACTGTATATATGACATTCATGTGGGGAGATTAGCAGCTACTTACTGCCTTTGTACTTTTAGTGGTCCACCTTTGACAGCATCTTTTTGCCCTGGCTGTGTTTCAATCTTTTCTTTGATTGACTGATACATTTGTTCTACAGACAGAATAAAAAATCATAAGGCTTGCTTGATATCAAAATTGCAAATAAATTGACAAATAGAAATGAAACACTTTAATACTGTTCTATATTTGCAAAGATTATTTTATTGGTATTATTTTCTGTCACTAAATGTGCACCACCATAATCCTTAATCTTCTATGTAACCCCAAGTGACATTTAATATTTAAATTATGCTTCCATATAAGGAGCCCTTATAAAAGATACAAAATTTAATATTCAATTAAATCATTTATAAAAAAATTTGGTTATTTAAAATATGTAACTATTTAGAGTTATTTTCTGCCCATTAACTCTTTATTTTAGCTCAACAATAACTAAAATGATGTTCCGAGCAGTTAGCAGAATTTCTTTTAACTCTTTAAATGAGACACAACAGTAGGTAACTAAAATGATGTTCCGAGCAGTTAGCAGAATTTCTTTTAACTCTTTAAATGAGACACAACAGTAACTAAAATGATGTTGAGAGTAGCAAACATTTCTTTTAATGACATTGGAAGTGAAGAAACTAAGACTTGCCAGGGAACTGATTTTTATGATCCTCAATATACTTGAGTACATAAGCATCAGCATTGGTAATGATGAATCTGTGTCTAAATATCTCAATGACAGCCCCGATGTAGAAGTCTTGAGGTCCATAGTACAGAGGTTTTTCTACAGTTGACCCAGGCTTGGCTACCCTGGTCCGTTCCAGGAATTTGCCACCAATGATACCTGAATTTCTTACAGGTGGTTCGTAGATAGTGATCATATCATCTGCTAGACGATACGCAATGATGAATCGCCGACCCCTGTCCTCAGATCTCATCGTGTCCTAGAAACATAAACAGAGTTATATAAACACAAACAACAGAGTTACATGAACATAGTTGTACAAACATGAACATTTTTTTTATTAATTTGTACGGTAAGTAAACATTTTATAAAAAACAAAAACTATTTGTATAAAGTTGTGGATAAAACTGGTAAAAATTATTAGAAACATAAATCTCTCATATATATTTTGCTTCTGGTTCGTCCTGCTTCCTCTTCATAACTACCCCCACCACTTCATATGTTTTATTTTAAAATTACTAGGTGAAACAAAGGCTTTCATGCATACTGTCTAGTACTGTATGTAGGACTATAAAGACAGGCAAGTAGGTAAGGGTGTAGGACTGTCTGTAAGCCCATTGTTTTGAAAGCTGGTAGATGGGTAAAGGACTGTCGGTAGGACTATTGTTTTGAAGGCCGGCAGGTTGGATGTAGGATTGTTTAAATCCGGCAGATAGAGACAAGGACTGTCTGTAGGCCTCTTGTTTAAGGCTGGCAGATAGAGAGTAAGACTGTCTGTAGGCTTATTGTTTAAAACCAGCATATATTATAGAAAATGAGAAGTTAACTGTTTTTGTGTGTAATACTTGAGCCCACCTGGTATTTTCTCAAAATACTCTGACCCGGTGTAAAAAAAACTGCACCCAGCTAAGCCTTAGTAAGAAATATTTTAACAAATTGACCCGTTATTTTCTAGTCTCTGCAGCTGATTAAGCTGTGCCATAAATCTATAAATCTTTCTTAAGTGTGAAATTTGTTTTTTTAAAAATAAATAAAATACTGGTAACACAAAAATTCTTTATTAATGTAACTATTGAATAAATTTTAGAAAGTAACATTAAAAACCAGGGCTTTACAAATCTGCCAAGTAAATATGAAACAGGGAACAATAGTAAGTTACTCTTTATATACCTTACAGCCAGGCATCTAGAAACAGACAAAATTATGGTTTAAACAAAAAAAAATGTCAAAATAGAATAAATACCGTTAACACAAAACTCTTTAAAAAATGAACACTGCTGATATATGTAAAACTGTGGTTGCTGTCAAATTATATGTTAATTTTTTATTGTAATCAATGGCATTCTGAGAATAAAATATTCAGGGTTACAACAAAAGACTATTCTTCAATAATCATAGGTATTGATATTTATTATATTATAGATATTGGGCATATGAAATATGTAATGTATTTATTTTATAAAAGGAAATTAAATTAAATGCTTTTGAGAAAGAGCTCACCATCATAGCCTCAAAGCGCAGTTCCTTGTGATCATTCTCCAACATTTTGATAAAATCCTTCTTAGCAGGCTGTGGGACAAGGCTGTTGCAGGACTGAAGTGAATCTTCAAGTGAGCCAAAGTTGTTGTACTCAGCAATTTCCTTTAAAACAGAAAGGTGGGAACAAAAACTCACACCTTGATGACTGATATATAATTAAAATAAATTTTTATTAATGATTGGTGTTCAATACTCCATCAGAGTTACTAGTAAGTAAAACTTAAGCGGATATAAGTCCTTATTACCATTTTAGGCAGATTCTTGGGCAATCCTTTGACTTCAACAGGTTCAAAGTTTGTAACCCCAAAATGATTGTAATAGAATCCTTTAGTAAAGTTATCACAGTCATACACCATGAAGCGCCTGCCATAGATCTGAAGTGTTTTCCCAATCTGAAAGTCTTTGGGTGTAAAGTAGTCTTTGATTTCTTGTTCAGACAACTCTAAAACTGCACCTGGGAAAGAAGGCGGTACATTGAATCTGTCTTTTGGAACTTTATGGCGACCAATCAGAACTGGGAAAGGATCCCGTCCATCATTGGGGGTGTGCACTTCACGAATCTCAAGAGTATCGTCAACCAGGTAATACTGCAATATTGGAAAATTGAACATCTTAAAAAATTGTATGTTAATGACATGATGAGGAAATAATTGAAACAATTATAAAATAAAAATAATGAGCTAATCTGCAAGCAAGGGAGTACATGTGAATAGAAAAATGAGTATCTGTCAGAGGCTTACAGTTCTTCATCTTATAAATCATTCAGTAAATCATAATAACTTACATGTAAAACAAATGGTCTCATTTCTCCAAACATGCTATCCCTGTCATCCCATACACAGTAAAAGCGCAACACCTTGCGGTCAAGCTCCTTAAACTGTTTGAGCTTGTCAAAAGCTGATTGGGTTGTATATGTACGCAGAGTTACGGTATCAGCTCGCTTTTGAATGTAAGGATCAGGGGGAATGAATTCTGGCTCATTGACTACAATACCTTCACTCTCCAAGAAATCCTAGAATATAATCAATTTTTTTAAAAATTATCATAAAATATATAGAAAAATCAATAGATTAAAGAATTACTTAATGATACAGAAGAAAATAGCATTTTTTGTCGTGCGTTTTAATGTTGTCAATATATTTCTTAAGTTATGGATTAAATTAAGAAATATACCTTTGTAAACTTGTCACAGTTAGTGATGTGGAAGCTCTTTCCATAGAAGACAATATTCATGCCAAGATTAATGTCTTTCCAATGCCATGTGTCACCCTGGTCATTCTTTGGAAGGCGCTGACGTCTGATCAGTTTTCCTTAAGTTTGAAGGGTGCATTAAAGCAAGCATAAGTGGTACCGGTACATAATTATTAAAAAAAACTTAAATAATTTTACAATAAATGCCAGCTACAGTTTAATTAAGATAAGATAAGACAAGATTCTTTTATTGATCTAAATAAATAGAAATGTTTTTTGATCGCATTATACATTTTCAGCTAAAAAATAAAACAATTTGAACACAACACATTTATAATAAATAAGATAATGGTTGGTAACAGATTACATTACTGTCATTTAAACTGGAAGTTTGTTCTCATTATATGAAATGAAACTGTCATTACCTTGTGGCATTCCAGAATTTTCAATATGAGGCTCAACAACAGCAATGCTATCATCCTCAAGATAGTAATAGACATCAACTGGGCGGACTCGATAGTATTCTTCTGGGGATTCATGAACTGTTTGTTTGAAGTACCCATTGAACTTCAGAACCTGATAAAGAATGAACATGGTTTGAACTAAATTACTTGCAGCACATTTAGACTAAATTAAAATTAACATCACAAAAGACTACAGTTTTTCAATGTATTGTTTGGTGTTTCATAGCATAATTATGTAGGAGTTGGTTAGATGTTACTTAAAGTCATATACCAGTATAATATATATCACAAAAATGGCCCACAAATTCAGATAAAAGCTTGTACCTTTTTGTCCCAAGCTACATGAGCAGGAATAAAAGCTGCAGGAGGTGCCTGTTTGGCTTGTCCATAAGTCAGGGTTGGGTTAAAATTGGCCAGCTCATCAAGTTCAGTCTCAGAAAGGTTGTTGTAAAAAAGCTGAGTTCCTCCTATTCCTCTCTCTGGCCTCCTTGGAATAGCATAGCCATTCTTGTATCCCAGAGTTTGGCTTACATGGAACTTCATTTGCTTGAAACAAAAATAAATATGATATTGTAAGTAAATAAACAGATAAGATTAGTCTCAGACATAGTCCTAGATCTCCATAAAATTGTAATAATTTTAGGTACTGGTATTCCATTAATTTATAAAAACTTAAGTTAATTAGTAAGTGTGTTGAACTTTGAATTTTTAAAGTGTTCATACAGTCTTGGATGCTTAGATTGTATGATGCAAAATCAGGTGAGGATTGTAGTGGCAGTAGACAGCAGTGGGAGTTGTTAGAATGATTATATTTATTGTAATCACACTCACACCTAAGCTCTGGTAAACTTAAACTTAAACCGTTAGCGTAATTGCCGTTATCAATTTCCTGTGACATTTTGTTTCCTACATTTTAAAACTGAAACGAAAAGACTAGCATCAATGGAGTAATGTGACTCTTATTGTTTTGAGATGATGACAAAGTCGATCGACAACTTCAATGATTAAAAAAAAAAGGTTGTAGAGGTTTAAAATTATTAAAATTAAAAAGATTTAAGTTAGGCTGATCGAAAAGTCCGACTTTAAACTGGCTGATGCAAAAACTTGTACACAATTTAAAGTATTTTTTACCGTTGGGTTCCGGAACGTGTTTCCAGGCAAGAATGGTAAACCTTCCATTTTGTGAGATGAACTATAAAGCTCCCGCTTCAATGTTTAGTTTACAGGGTACCAACCAAATCCTAAATGTTGACATAGTTGCTAAGCGTTGCCAAGTTCAAAAGTCTCGTGTTAGCGAGATTCATAGACATTACTAATTTTGTAAATTTTTAAAACGATGTTTCTATATCATTTGAGTTTACAAAAAGAACTTGGTTTCGAATTAATATCAATTTACTAAAAGCTTTAAAACAAATTTATTTATTTTGATGGCATGGAATATAGTATAAATGAGACAATCCAGTCCTATATTATTGGGTAACTCAATTTGCATTTCCGGTATTAGCAAGTCAGTCTGTGATCTCACCGACTAGACAAAACTACATCGAAATGAAACTAGGTTTCTTACTTCTTACTCGGATACTTTAATTGTTCACTATCTCCAGCCAGTACTCAATGGCAGGCACAGAAGAGGTACACATTTAATGCAAACATTACATTTTTAAGCGTATGGCACTTGGTCATGGTCTGGATCATTATTATTAAATTATTACTTAGTTTAACTTGAATTAATTGAGTATCGTAAAAAAACAACAACAAAACAAATAATTTTAAAACATGTATGTATGAGTACTATGAGTAAATGTAAGTATGTAAAAGTTTTAGTAAAAGAAATCACTTAATTCACTTAACTAAAAATAATTTTAATTTTGCAGACAGTCAGACAGGTTAATCCCTTAAAAACTCTCAATGGACTTCAATTTAATAGAACAGGTCTTTATCGAAGTGAGAGGTTGACTATATTTATATGTAGGTTAGGCATTTCGATAAACGCTTGCGCATTCAGTTTGCGCATATGGAAAAAAGATACAAAAACTGAAGTGGCCATCTTACAATCGCATCTACGGCGACCTCGGATTTATGCGTTTTACGTCATAGTTTCCTATTTGTACATTTATTTTGTCATCAATTATGATAAATATTTTTCTTCCGGTGACGCACATATCTTTAGACCAACTTGCTTTATCTCTGTTCTTTTTTTGTGTCACTTTGACGGTACGGTAAGCTATAAAAATGTATAAATACTCCGTTTTAGCAATAAAATGACATTAAAACCTTTAAAAACGAGTTAATCATTCAAATGGGGTAGGGAATAACTTTGAAATAGTCCATATTCTATTTTCTAGGTTAATATAAACCTTTCTTATTTTCATCACGCTCTCATCACCGGAGGGAAAAAATAAATTTCTCCTTATTTTGTATCTTCACCGGAAACGAAATTCGCTCTCGGTATCAGTCAAAAGAGAGTTTTAATATTCCATAACCTTTTAATATCTGAATAAATCTAAGTAAATTGTCATTTTAGAATACAGAAATCGAAAATATAAATAAAATCTAATATAAGTTTGCTTCCACCAACTATTTCTAGTCCTACAACTACAATTTAACTATAATTTATAAGTCTATTCTTCTAAGCTTAGCCACTAAGCCTAAGTTTAGTAAGTTTTAAGTAGGTACTTTGACTTTGACCCAAATGCCAAATTAGTAAATATTGTCAGATAGCCAAGATGAATGATTAATCAGATTCATTTTAAAGGGCTAGCTATAAGCTTTATAGAAACACCAATTTCATTTTCTTCATTCTAACTTTTATAGAAGTGGAGCTCTGATTTATTTTGTTGATTTTTTTTATGCTCCATATATTATATAACTAGATATTTTACCCCGAAACGTGTGACCTAAATTTCAGATTTTTGCCTTATTTTGCCCAGAACATTTTTATTTTTAAAGATAATTGCAACGAATTTTCAGGAGACATTCCAATCTAATATACAACATAAAGAACAACAAAACTTTTACACTGTGTCAAGACTTTTTATTTTTTAGAATTTTCGTTGCGGATATGTTATAAAAATCATGTCGAGAAAAATTAGAAAAATTAGAAAAATTATTATTTGTAAAGGCAAAAAAAAAAAAAATAACATCTTTATTGTATTTTAACTATATGTATGATTCAGTTATATTGCAAATAAATTCTTATATTATAAAAGGTAATTAGCAGTCTTTTTAAATACAAAATTAAATGCATGAAATGATAAAAACTACTCAAATCACCCATCATAAGACTAATATATGAGAGCGATCACTAGATATAGCCCGCCAAACATTGGCAGCAGCAATGCGGGAACTTTCTTACTCCCATCTACTAAAGTTACTTGACAAATAGTAACGCACATTTAATAATCCCAATTTTTGTTACAGTAACTTACACCCCTTCCTCCATGATATGTCACTGCACACTTTATTTCATGCCCATAATCTATATTAAATATTCTGATGTCCCAACCTATTTTAAGCTGAATATTATTTACACCATATACTTTAATTGAGACGATTTCACTTTCTGAAAAGAAAATGTTACGCGCCAAACGCAATTGCGGTATATATATATATAAACAAATCATTTAGCATAGTTATCAGGAATAAAAATTTTGCGCATTATTGAACCATACTTTCCTTCAAACATTTAGAATTGTTTAATTTGTAATATACTCTCAATACCAAATTCGCTGATTAGGAAGCAGTCAGTAAGTACGCAGTCCACGAGTCATACCAGAAGTGTAATATTTATGAGATACAGAGTATGTGATTAAATTTTAAAAGGGAATGGGGATGTTCTGCCTGTCATTTTATGTGTAGACTCTTCTACACACTTCTTGGTCTTGTTGATAAATAAAAAAATCTCTCCTTCATAAACTTTGTCTTTGCCATCCTCTTACTTGTGTGCCTAACTGTTGATGGAAGTAGAAGAAATTTTACAAAGATCTACTTTAATAGACAATTAACATTCGCCCTAGTACCTGAAAGAAGCCTATATAGTTTCTACGGCAATAAATTTTATTCTTGTGGAATAAAAAAAAAAATAGAATGTGATATGCTTACCCAATGGTTTTGATGATCCTGTCAGTGACACACAAAAAAACAAGTCACAGCATAAAATTCATAGAATCGCCAAAACACAAAAACTGATACGTCACTGATGAGGAATGCAATTATTTAATAAACGAAGGTGACGTAGTATGCTATTTTCCAAAGATACTGTGTAGCCATACGCCATATTGTAGAACATGTTTTTTTTAGATGCCCACGACATGCGCAGTAGAATAAGTAGAGTGGTTTTTAAGTACCTACTATATGTTTGTACCACTATCATAAGACCAGTAGTAATGTACGCTAGTGAGACTTGGACCCTTACCAGAAAAGTAGAGAACCTGCTCAACACATGGGAGAGGAAAATCCTCCGAAAAATATACGGCCCCCGTGAGAATTCGTACAAACCAAGAACTTTACCATCTGTACAAAGACCCAATTGTAGTCACAATGATAAAAAAAGGCAAACTACGCTGGGTTGAAAGGATGCCGGAGGGTAGAGCAGCAAAAGCTATATACAGGCAGAAGCCTAGGGGCAGATGTCTCACCTTTCGCCCAAGGCTGAGATCGATCGATGTAGATGGCTATACACCAGTTGGGGGTTCGTGCATGGAGAAGGAAAGCCATGGATTTCTCCAAATGGAAGGATGTGGTGGACCATGCCAGGGCCCTACATAGGCTGTAGCGCCACTGATGATGACTATATGTTTGTAAACTTACATTTTCAGCTTAACTATAATAAACTACCAAAAAAGACATCTGAATAGCTTTTACTCAAAGGGACCCAGGTCCAAATAGATTACACAAGGTCTTAGACAGGGAGACTCACTGTCTTGTATGCTATTTAACCTAACATTAGAGAGTTATAAGAAGCATACATATTGACACCTGAGGAACAATAACAGGATACTTTCTGATAGAAATCCAAGACTCACAACGGATGGGCACTCTCTACAATCAACCCTTCAGAATAAAAGAAAGAATATCAGCCGGAAACAGGAAATAATTCAGAAAATACTCCTTAGTAAAAACATTACAAGAGAAACAAAAAAAAAAAACAACTATAAAACTGTAATCAGACCAGTTGTAACATACATACGTTGAAACTGGGATCCTAAAAAAACGGCAGAAAACCTATTTAACACAGGGAGAGAAAAGTTTTCAGGAAAATATATGGACCAACAAAGGATGAATATGGATGGAGAATACGAACCAACTATGAATTTTACAGTCTATATCAGGATCCCACGATAGCAGAAATAAAAAAGGGTCGGCTATGCTGGGCAGGACACTTGACTTAGAGAGAATGTCAAATGACAGAGGAGGGGAAAGGGTGCATCACCAAAACCCAGAGGAAAACAGTTTAAAGTCAGACCTAGGGATGGATGGGTAATGTGGCAAAAGATCTACAACAGCTTGGATTCCAAGCATGGTAGAGAAAAGTATTAGTTAGGTCTGAGCGGAAGGAAGTACTGAGGCAGGCCAAAGCCCGGCATGGGATGCAGTGCCACAGGGATGGATGCTTGAACTCAATGAACCAAAAATTAGGATAAACATGTGTAGCTTTAAACTTTTTGCATGTATAGTTTACTCCTTGAATTTAATGGTGTGATACAGTTTTTTTTTCTTCTCTTTTATAATTAATAAGCTGCAACACCTCACCAAATATGAGCTATGTATCTTTAACATTTAATAAGTTATGATTATTTTTTACAGCCCTGGAGGAAAACTAAAGATAATCTTGTTCTTTGAACTACTCAAAGCTAATTTATTTACTATGTTTGTCTTTTCCCAGCCAGCAGTAGTGGAAGCATCACTCAAAGATGCTGAGAATAAAACTATTCCTATCCGACTAATGCTTTACCCAGATGCACTCTTAATTCAGAAACAAGAGTGGATCAGCGTACAGCTTGATGAGGAAGATGAAGTTTTTTTAAACATGGTAATGAGTTTTTAAGTAATCTTCTTACTTATTCTATTTGATAAACATATTTTGATTTAGAATAATGCTGTTAAATAATTTTAATATCAATTAATAGTTGTCTGTAAAATTATTGTTCTAAATGCCTTAAACATAAACATTTACTCACTCTTCTAATAAGGTTCGAGAGGTCGAGATCGTTAGAGAGCCTGGTGCTGGCTTTGGGCTCTGTGTAAAAGGGGGTGCAGAGCACAGACTACCTGTACTTATTTCAAGACTAGTGAAAAATGAGGCTGCAGAACGATGTGGCCAATTACTTGTAGGCGATGCTATTCTAAGGGTAAGTTAGTGACTAAAAGGGTGTGATGGATGGAACAGGACTGTAGTTAAAAACTAAAATTATATTTAATAAGAATTTAGGAAGACAGTTTAAAAAATACAATGTAAAAGATAACCCATTTCCCCCCCCCAGGTAAATGGGGTCAATGTTGAAAGCTGCACTCACGATGAGGTTGTGTCATTACTGAAGGAGGTCAAAGAAGACACAGTTTCTCTGTCAGTCAGACATTTCAGGCCAGCCTCATATTTCCTGAATAAAGGCAAGTGGAGCCTGCTGCTTATATGCGTCAAGCTTTCCATCATTATTATTCATCTGTTAGCCATTACTATATTATGAACTTACTTCTTTTTAAAATCTTTTATAATCACTTCACTTTAGTTGGTTTGTTTCTGGTTGGGTGACAAAATCTTCGGACGGCTTATTAACTCACTTCCTGTTAACCTATTGAGCTGAAAATTGGCACAAAGACACTTTGCCGAGGACAATACATTCTACCAAATTCTAAGCCCCTATCACCAAAAATCAGTTTTTCCTTTTTTTTCAAGGAGGAAGATGAAGGAAATATGATGCCACTGTTTTCACGAACTAAAATTCCTGATAACTGCGCTAATTTCTTAAAAAAAATATCAAATATGCGTTTGTTGCATACTATTTTCTTTGATTTTCTGAAATAGTTGGTGAAATAAATTTGTGTTGTAAAAGCGTGTGGGACATTAAAATAATTTAAAAAAAATAAATAAAACATGGATATAAAGGATTTATAAGAAAACCTTAGTTTTTAGGGGTTCTTTATTTGTCTGATGTGGATGGAAAACTTATCTATAAATTATTTTGATATAAATGAGGGACTAAAAGGGTTATATGTTGCAAGGCTCAAAATAATTAAATTTTTTATATTTATGAATTAAAAGTAATTTTTGCCAGCACTGAGTTTTTAAAAAAGGGACTTAACAGATTGTAAAGAAATATTCCTTTTTTATTTCTGTAGGTAATGAAGCCAGGGATGGACTTGGTATTTTCAAACAGGTACAGTAGAATGAATAAAATTTCATTCATGATCTTTAGTTTTTGAAAAAACATAACCAAAAAGTGATTTTTATAGGAATTTTTATATCTTGAAAACGTTTGTGGGAAAAATATTCATGGTTTCTAGTTATACATTTTTATAGGTAAAATTTAGTAGTATTGAAAATCATTTACATTGTTAACCATTGCAAATGGAAAGGTTAAAGCTGTGTGCATTCACTATGACACTCTGCTTATCATTATCAAAATTGAAATAAAGAATATTCTCTCACCAACATTAAAGGAAAACGTCCAACTGGCAAGTTTACCCAGGCTTGAGAAAGAGTGGTTGACAGCTGTCACTATACCTCTTCTTTATGCCAGGATATCTCGATATGTCACAGGGACTGATAATTCAAGGTTAGTCTTTAAAAATAAAAATGTATTGTCATCATAACAATTTTATTCTGTTGATTCCTTTGTACCCTAGATGGCAAAGAAACACGAGACAGTGGTCATATATCTTTTCTTAACACTTACCTACAATTTTTACTGTGTGTAAAGTAACATAGGACAGTGGCCATCAATGTTCCCTTTAAGATGCGCGGCCGGGCAGCTAATTCACAGATGCAGCGCAGCAGTTTTGAGTATGGTGCAGCAAATTTCCATATAAGTCTGTGTTTGTGGGCTGTAAAATGTTGCACACAAAAAAATTGATGCTGTAAAACTTTGCACACAACTTTATGATTTGCACACGAACCAAAAAACCTAAGAGGGAACATTGGTGGCCATGTATCTTTTCTTAACACTTACCTACAATTTTTACTGTGTTTAAAATAACACGGGGCAGTGGTCATGTATCTTTTCTTAAAACTTACCTACAATTTTTACTGTGTGTAAAGTAACACAAGACAGTGGTCATGTATCTTTTCTTAACACTTGACCTACAATTTTTACTGTGTGTAAAGTAACAGGACAGTGGCCATGTATCTTTTCTTAACACTTACCTATAATTTTTACAGTGTGCAAAGTAACACAAGGCCTTAAACTGTCTTAGGTCTGCACCATGCCAGGGGCTTGAATTGTTTGTTAAGTATTTTCAAGAAGATATTGATGCATACCTTTGGTAACACACTTTTGCTTTTGTTTACTTTAGGGACGATTCCTTTGATATAGTTGGTGTTGATGGTTCCAAGTCAGGCCCCATATACTTCTCAGACAAATCAACTACAGTCACCTGGTTACAGCAGATAACAGTTAAAACACAAGGTCTCCTCACACAAATGGTGAGTTTGTTAACTATTGAAAGGGATACTGTTTTGTTATGTTTAGGGATGTTAGCTCATGGTTTATTCATCTTTACAGTAAACTGCATGTTTATCACTGTCCCACTTGTTTCTACACTAGACTTGGAGTGTGTGAATCTTCACTTTAATCTTTTCATTTGAAGGGTTTACATTTCTTTGTCCACTAGATTCAAATGACTAATCAGTTGATGACCAAGGAGGACCATGTAAGTAATGTTTTAGTTAGTGTTAGGGTTGGGAATGGTTGTGCATTGTTTGAAAGTTTGATATTGTTTTAAAAATTTGAACAAATATAGAGCTAGAATTTAACATTTTTTTTGTGTGTGTGCAATTTTTAAGAATTGAAGTCAGTAAACCTGATGTCTCAAAGTTGATATTTTTAAAAATTTGTTACTGCCTCAATCAGATTCAGTTAATGTGCTGGACCTATGAGTCTCAAAGTTGATATTTTTAAAAACTTGTAACTGCCTCAATCAGATTCAGTTAATGTGCTGGACCTATGAGAAACTGCCTGCTGAACAACAATGGTGTGCTTGGAAAGAAAAATTCCTGGCTCTCAAAGCTGCTGATATTTATCTTTTTGATGTACCTCCGGTGAGAACTGCTTTTAAAAGAATGCCATTCCGTGGTATAAATGTAAAGAGCATGTGTTATGAGGAGTTGAATGGTGACCATGTCAGCTGCACTTTCTTGTCTCTTGTTTGTTTTATCTATGGTGTTAGCATAATTGTACTTGGGCCTATTGGAGCTTAATGAATGCAATGCATTCACTGTACGTTTGTATTTTAAAATAAAGACAAAATAATGGACGTTAGATGAAAATGACGGCACATATACTTTCTATACCATGTCATTTCCCAAGTGCACATGTACTTTCTATCCAATTTTATTTCAGTTGAATATAATTTTTGCCTGTTTTAAAATACAGTTGTGTTGTTTGAATAGTGCTCCAATAGTTCCACATATAAATCAACTGTCTAATCCTTTTGTTTGAATAGTGCTCCAATAGTTCCACATATAAATCAACTGTCTAATCCTTTTGTTTGAATAGTGCTCCAATAGTTCCACATATAAATCAACTGTCTAATCCTTTTGTTTGAATAGTGCTCCAATAGTTCCACATATAAATCAACTGTCTAATCCTTTTGTTTGAATAGTGCTCCAATAGTTCCACATATAAATCAACTGTCTAATCGTGTTGTTTGAATAGTGCTCCAATAGTTCCACATATAAATCAACTGTCTAATCCTGTTGTTTGAATAGTGCTCCAATAGTTCCACATATAAATCAACTGTCTAATCATGTTGGCATTGGGAGATACAGACATTTGGCTAAAAGTTTAAATATTTATATATAACATGAATATGTTGCCTGAATGTTGTATATTTTATACAAAATTTTCAGATGCATTCAAGTGACTGGTCTAAATGTGGCATGAAGTACAAAGTTTATGAGTGTATGCTTAAACTTCTCAAGGTAGGATTCTTTGTAAGGATGTTTGTCTAAGTTTTAAGGACACAAATTATCCTAGAATAAGCCCATTGACCTCCCAAGCATTTGTAAGACAAATGATCATTTAATTTTTAAACAAATACTTTTCCCCTATAATGAAGTAATGGTAGTAAATAAATCATTCAAGAAAGATTGGATGATGTCAAAGGAAAAGAATTCTTCACTTTTTTTTGCTTTGACAATGTGAAAATCACAATCCCCCATCATAATCTAATAATTAAATAATTCTTTGTTAAAATTGTGATTTTTAAATTCCTGATTCATAGGTTTTGGTTAACATATACACATTTTTGAAACAAAAGAAAATATTTTTAATGAAAGGCAGGTTGAAAAAATTACAATGGCAACATTCTGTGCATAATTTTGTTTTATCTGTTACAGGACAATGAACTCCTAGACAGTCGTCAGCACTGCTGCTCAATTCTAACTGGTTCTAAAGAAGTTATCTGCCTAAGCTTGGACAGCAGAGCAGAGTTACTTGTCCTTGAAAAGTCTTGGTACAGAACAAGTAATTTAGCCGTTCAAAGGCTACAGGTAATTTTTGGTTAATGTTACTGCTCTGTTTGTTGGTCAAGGTGATGATGTATGGGTACTTTCTTTCACAAGAACGCTAGTGCATAATTGAAGCCAACTCATTGCGATTGAACAACATATCTATTTAATTATCTATAATCATGCTAAAGCTATAGTGCTGCTCAGCATAAGGGCGCTACTAACTCATTAAACCTATGCAAATACTGCCTTCTTACTTGGCTGGTTGCAGTGGCTCTACCCGGCTGGTTGCAGTGGCTCTACTGGCTAAAGACAATTCATACACACCTTACTAACATGTAGCTTGACAACAAATGTTCTAATAGGCTCACCTATCACCACAACATACTAATGTGTGGCTAGTTGCAGTGGCTCTACTGACTAAAGACAATTCATACACACCTTACCAACATGTAGCTTGACAACAAAGGTTCTAATAGGCCTCACCTCTCACCACAACATACTAATGTGTGGCTGGTTGCAGTGGCTCTACTGGCTAAAGACAATTCATACACCCCTTACCAACATGTAGCTTGACGACAAAGGTTCTAATAGGCCTCACCTCTCACCACAACATACTAATGTTTGGCTGGTTGCAGTGGCTCTACTGACTAAAGACAATTCATACACACCTTACCAACATGTAGCTTGATGACAAAGGTTCTAATAGGCCTCAACTCTCACCACAACATACAAATGTGTGGCTGGTTGCAGTGGCTCTACTGGCTAAAGACAATTCATACACACCTTACCAACATGTAGCTTGACGACAAAGGTTCTAATAGGCCTCAACTCTCACCACAACATACTAATGTGAGTAACGATGAATTATAGCCTCAACAAACAAATTTGTACAAAATATCATAGAAGTCTGCATTCCTATTTATTTGCACTTTTGATAAGGATGCAGAGAAAAAGACTTTGATGCTCTTTAATATGGTTTTTAAAAAAATCATAATAATAATCTCTTCATCAATCATTTAAAGAAATATTTAAATATTATTATATTTTTCATTTCTTTCTTTAGAGCAAAACATTTGGCTGCAGTTGGCAAGAGCATCTGTCAGGATTGATATTGGACTTGGATCAGGGCTTTTCTCTCTACGACCATCAGACAAAGGTAATTGGGGACATATGGGACACAACATACAACTAGAGACACACTGCGGGACACATGGACACAACATACAACTAGAGACACACTGTGTGACATCTGGGACAAAACATAAAACTGGAGACATTCTGTGTGACACATTCTGTTTGACACATGGGGCACAGCCTACACGTAGAGCCATTCTGCTTGACACATGGGACACAACATACAACTAGAGACATTCTGTGTGACACATTCTGCTTGACACATAGGACACAACATACAACTAGAGACATTCTGTGTGACAAATTCTGCTTGACATATGGGACACAACATACAACTAGAGACATTCTGTGTGAAACCTGGGGCACAAAATTATGAACCAGCATTTAGATAGGTAAAGTTAACAGGGAATATGTGTCCGAGACAGATAGATGTAGTTTGCAGGGAACAAGAGGCTGACTCTGACCTCTCATTGAATCTCTGACCTCTCATTGAATCTCTGACCTCTAATTGAATCTCTGACCTCTCATTGAATCTCTGACCCCTCAATTGAATCTCTGACCTCTCATTGAATCTCTGATCTCTCTTTGAATAATCTCTGACCTCTCATTGAATCTCAGACCTCTCATTTAACCTCTGACCTCTCATTGAACCTCTGACCTCTCATGAATCTATGACCTCTCATTGAATCTCTGACCTCTCATTGAACCTCTGACCTCTCATTGAACCTCTGACCTCTCATTGAATCTATGACCTCTCATTGAATCTCTAACCTCTCATTGAATCACTATACTCTCATTGAATCTCTGACCTCTCATTGCATCTCTGACCTCTCATTGCATCTCTGACCTCTCATTGCACCTCTGACCTCTCATTCAACCTCTGACCTCTCAATGAATCTATGACCTCTCTTTGAATAGCTAACCTCTCATTGAATCACTATCCTCTCATTGAATCACTATCCTCTCATTGAATCTCTGACCTCTCATTGAATCTATGACCTCTCATTGAATCTATGACCTCTCATTGAATCTATGACCTCTCATTGAATCTCTGACCTCTCATTGAATCTCTGACCTCTCTTCAATCGCTGTCCTCTCATTGAAACTCTGACCTCTCATTGAATCTCTGACCTCTCATTGAATCTCTGACCGCTCTTTGAATCTCTTACCTCTCTTTGAATCTCTTACCTCTCATTGAATCTCTGACCTCTCTTAGAATCTCTGACTGTCTTTGAATCTCTGACCTCTCTTAGAATCTCTGACCTGTCTTTGAATCTCTGACCTCTCTTTGAATCGCTAACCTCTCATTGAATCTCTGACCTCTCATTGAATCTCTGACCTCTCTTTGAATCGCTAACCTCTCATTGAATCTCTGACCTCTCATTGAATCTCTGACCTCTCTTTGAATCGCTAACCTCTCATTGGATCTCTGACCTCTCATTGAATCTCTGACCTCTCTTTGAATATCTGACCTCTCTTAGAATCTCTTACCTCTCTTTGAATCGCTAACCTCTCATTGAATCTCTGACCTCTCATTGAATCTCTGTCCTCTCTTTGAATATCTGACCTCTCTTAGAATCTCTTACCTCTCTTTGAATCGCTAACCTCTCTCTAACATCCTTGTTTCCAACTTAAGAGCATCTTATGGAGCTACAGATTCGCACAGCTTAAAAGCTCATCGGACGATGGCCTGTCCAAATTGACCCTAAACTTTATCAACGATACGACCAAACAGTTGGAAACTCAGGCAAGTCTGGAACTTGTGCATGAAATGTGTAGGGCATGTCCTGTTGTTTGGGCATGAATTGTTTAGGGCGTGTCCTGTCAGCGTGTGCCTTAATTGTATAGGATATGTCCTATGTCTTTTTTTAAAAAGTATTTGATATTTGTGGTAAAAGGTCCGTCTTTGTGTTGTAGTTGCCTTGTCATTACATGCCACTGAATTAAAAGCTGAATCTCATTAAGCTCAAAAACAAAAATTTGAATTAGTCATTCCTTAAGACTATGTCAGAAATAAATGGTCTCACTTATGTTGTATGATTTCATTCCACAGGTGATTGAATGTTCAGATCTTCAGACCCTCATCTACTGCATCCATTCATTTCTCTCAGCCAAGTTATCCACAGTTGATCCGACCTTCTTGGGGAACCACTGAGACTCACATTTGGATAACCAGTTGTTGACATCAGTGCCGTGGGGACTACCTGACGTGACATCATTGCTCCGCTGACTGCCTGACTTGACATCATTGCTCCGCTGACTGCCGGACTTGACACCAGGGCTGTGTGAACAAACAAAAACCTGCATTCACACACACCTCTGACCATTCACTGATCGGACTTGACCAAAACTGGCCACAATGTTTGAAAAGTTTACATTGTATACCATACTGTGATGATGTAAGTAAGGAAGATACAGAATATGTACCCTGTCATTTTTCTTTCACTGAGAGAACTAATCTTCCAGCTATTTTATTCTTCTTGTATATTCAGCACAGTTATAAAACTGCTGGTCAATTCAGTTGGTGTCATGGACATGTCAGTGCAGGAGCAGCTGGATGACAAGTGTTCAGTTTGTTGGAAGAGCTGGATCACATGAGAGCTCTTCATTTTAATTGATGTCATGGACAGATCAGTGGAGGAACAGCTGGATGAGATAAGTTCAGTTTGTTGAAACAGCTGGTCGTTTTGCACTAGGATTTGCTACCTGGATTTTACATGTGTTGATTCTTGTGTTTGATTAGGTCACTGGAAATGTGAGCAGGTAAACATTTTTACATTGACTATTCATATCCAATCTTTTGTCTGTAGTAGACCACAGGACACTGAATACAATTTTAGTTAGTAGTCTGTTTACTGATACACTGTGTGTACTTGATGATATTAAACATGTGTTGGGGGGCGACTGTGATGCTGTGTGTACTTGACCCTGTAACACATGTTGGGGGTGGACTGTGACCCTGAGTGTACTTGACTTTACTGATATAAACAAATTGTGATAACTGTCTGAAAATAATTTACATAATCCGTGCAATATGTCATTTTTTTTATAACTTTCTGAATAGTGTTTCTTATTAGGGTTGTGCTTTTCTGTTATAAATAGCATGTTATTTCTCTGTAACAGCATGTTACTTGTTTTTACTCCCTTGAGCAATTGGTGATGACTTTTTAAAATGTGTTTTGTTGATGTTAGAAGATAATAATTTGAAAGAACATTTTGAATCCCCACCACAGTAGAAGAATCAAAGTGCTGGCGTTCTACAAGAATCATTAGGAATCACCGCCACAGTAGAAGAATCAAAGTGCTGGCGTTCTACAAGAATCATTAGGAATCACCGCCACAGTAGAAGAATCAAAGTGCTGGCGTTCTACAAGAATCATTAGGAATCACCACCACAGTAGAAGAATCAAAGTGCTGGCGTTCTACAAGAATCATTAGGAATCACCACCACAGTAGAAGAATCAAAGTGCTGGCGTTCTACAAGAATCATTAGGAATCACCGCCACAGTAGAAGAATCAAAGTGCTGGCGTTCTACAAGAATCATTAGGAATCACCACCACAGTAGAAGGATCAAAGTGCTGGCGTTCTACAAGAATCATTAGGAATCACCGCCACAGTAGAAGAATCAAAGTGCTGGCGTTCTACAAGAATCATTAGGAATCACCGCCACAGTAGAAGAATCAAAGTGCTGGCGTTCTACAAGAATCATTAGGAATCACCACCACAGTAGAAGGATCAAAGTGCTGGCGTTCTACAAGAATCATTAGGAATCACCACCACAGTAGAAGAATCAAAGTGCTGGCGTTCTACAAGAATCATTAGGAATCACCACCACAGTAGAAGAATCAAAGTGCTGGCGTTCTACAAGAATCATTAGGAATCACCACCACAGTAGAAGAATCAAAGTGCTGGCGTTCTACAAGAATCATTAGGAATCACCACCACAGTAGAAGAATCAAAGTGCTGGCGTTCTACAAGAATCATTAGGAATCACCGCCACAGTAGAAGAATCAAAGTGCTGGCGTTCTACAAGAATCATTAGCTATGATTTCTGTTACATCTGGACTCACTAGCAACTCGTGTAGCTGATGTTCAACGGGCTGTAGCAATTCAGCACATATAAGAATTTTAAGATAAGAATTTTAAGATAAGAATTTTTATTGATCCAAATAAATGGAAATGTTTTTTGATTACATTGTACATACTCATTTTTAGCATATAAATAAGTACATATTTAAACCAAGACAACATTTTACAATGATAAAAATTTAAACACAAGGTATCCAAAGTATTTCTCTAGTGCAGAAATCGGCCAAAAATGAACCCTGATTAGTGACCATAAAGATTTAATTAGTAATCTAAAAGATATGTTAACTGCTGTTGGAGAATGCTGGTAAATTCGTACAGGCTCAGGAAGACAAGAATTTTAGTATCTCTCTGTCCAAACATCAAGAAAAAATAATATTTTGACAAAAATAACCTAACATCAATAGAGCCTCTAGTGTCTTGTTCTATAAGTAAGGGCTGTTGTGATTGGTTGATTTGATGAACTCAAAATTTGAGATGTGAATTGTGAAGAGATCAGCATTCTTTAAACTGTCCTAAAAGGTTATTTGGTAATCTACCACTTTAGTGTGGGCTATTCAAAAATCACTTTGTTCTGGTTTGAAGTGCTATTGAAATGGTTATTATTTGATTAATGTCCATTAATAAGACAGTGGAGAGAGGGCCACTGGGTTTGCGGTGCCATCGAAATAGAGAGTGGGCACTGTTTTCTTGTTGAAGTGCCATACTAACATGTGATCACTTTACAGCAGTGCATAGAGACACTTATCCTTCCTAGCTCACTTATTGAATTGTATGGATATGTGTATGGATATGTGGCTTATGCAAACATTAATCAGATCAGGCACATAATCCACTCACACTCCGTTGTGGTCTATCAACAAAATGTGGTTGATCCAAATGTCCACACACAGAATATTGAAAATACATGGATGTGCGCAAACTGAGAAGAAAGTTTGCACAAGTCGTGATAGTTTCTCTTCAAAATTGGATGGAGTTCATGTTCAAAAATAGTTTTCATGGAGATTATATTTTCAGACCTGTTTACCCTCAAATTCTTAAAATCGTACAATATCATCACATAATCGTTCAATACATTCTCTTTATATAGAAAAAAAAAACGTGCAGTACATATAATGTATAGGTCTACACCTCAAAATTGTACATTGTACGCCAAAATCGTAAGAAAACAGGTCTGTATTTTTAAGAACTTTCTTGTTACGGGGGGGGGGGAACAACTATGCTTATTCTCAAACTCTGTTTTCTTTTCATACATTGATTTATTTAAAAAAATTATATTTTAAAAAATATTGAATTGTTTAAATTTTTATATTTTAAAATTTTTACCTTGGATAATTTATATGAGCTGAAATGAATATGTACATTGTCATAAAAAACATTTCCAATTGTTTGGATCAATAAAAGATTTTTATCTCATCAATGAAAGGATAGCAGTTTGAATAGCACTCAAACCGTAACAACACCAAGTTCTGAATGACCACATTTTTTTCTCAGTATTTCAACTCTGCTCATGGTATTATCATTAACTCCACAACTATAACCTTTAACCTTTATATTGATGCATTTTTAGAATCTCCTTTGACTTGATGTGATATTGATTGTAATATATGATGGTAACTTTTCTATTATCTAGTCTGATTGTACATTGAGTTGGTCATCAAGTCTTGATAGAATAATATAATCATTGTAAATATTCTATGGTCTAGTCCCGTTCATCAAAAAACATGACTTGATAAGAATGTAACAGCCAGGCAGTCACTCTCTTTAATCTGCTTGCTTTATTTTACTCTCTTGTATGCAGTAGGGACTTTAAGATTTTTGTTGTTTACATACTGTTAAATAGAATGTTATGAATATTGAATTTTTAAAGCCTTTCAAAAAGGATGCTGTAACGATCTTTTTTGATGATTGTATTGTAACATAGGAATGTCAAAGGAATGGTATGGCTTCATGACGCTGTGGCAGATATTAGCAGGGAATCAATTTGCTTGTTAAGATTTTGCACTTGATTATCAATTTCTCCCAGCTCAGGAGAGACAATTGTGATGGACGTATGCACTAAAGAGCATAGTTTGTGATGGATGTATGTACTAAAGAGCATAATTTGTGATGGACATATGTACTAAAGAGCATAGTTTGTGATGGATGTATGCACTGAAGAGCATAGTTTGTGATGGACGTATGCACTAAAGAGCATAGCTTGTGATGGACATATATACACTAAAGAGCATAGTTTGTGATGGACATATATGTATTAAAGAGCATTAGATTGTGATGGATTTATATGTATTAAAGAGCATTAGATTGTGATGGATTTATATGTACTAAAGAGCATAGTTTGTAGACGGCGCTGCTTACAACATGGTAAAAGAGGTCTAGCTTTACCAATAATGCATGAAGTTTTTTTTGTATATGAAGGGTTCAAGGAAAAAACCAGTGATGTCCGTTTTTTCGAAATTTTTAATTTATCAACCCTGTGGCTACATGCCATTCAGTAGAATAACATGGCACATAGGCCCAACTGAAAGAACAGCACGGTCGATACATAGGCCCAACTGAAAGAACAGCATGGTCAATACATAGGCCCAACTGAAAGAACAGCACGGTCAATACAGAGGCCCAACTGAAAGAACAGCACGGTCAATACATTAATGTTTAGACACCTTGACATTTTTATACTTGCATGAGGAGTTTTCAAACTTTATGATCAATTTTTCCTCCAAACTCTCAAAGTCTGACATCACTGGTTTTTCCCTGGTCTCATCTTTTAGACAAAAATTATGTTTTATTTTATAGTGTTTATTTTTCTATATCACAATTGAAAAAGTGGGGGGGGGGGACCACAATGGGCTGTTTATTATAGATGTAAAAACAAGACAATCTGTGATCCGTGTCTGTGTCTGCTGAATGTGTTTTCTGTTTGAAATAATAATTATATATATGTTAGGAATTATTTTACAATATCATCTGACAAGATGTTTGGTGGTTTTTTTCTCTCTTCTTCCCTGTTACAATTGACAGTATCAGTGATTGGATGTTTGCATTGTATCCATTGTCTTCTGTGTTAC